CTCTCTCTCTCTCTCTCTCTCTCTCTCTCTCTCTCTCTCTCTCTCTCTCTCTCTCTCTCTCTCTCTCTTACTCTCTTACTCTCTTACTCTCCCCCCCCAAATTCTTCACTCTTGTAGTGTAGCCACAATATATAATGAGTCTTGAATATCTATCATGGGAACAAATGGGAACCAAATAAATGTATTACCTTTACTTGCCAGTGGTAAGTGATCAGACGAACCAGGCTGATCTAGACTTCTGGACTTCTGGACTTCTGGACCAATTTTCATTATATAAGTTAGAGTTGAAAGGATCATCTAAGAATGTTTCAAGCTTCTTCTTATTGACTATCTATGTATATACCCGTCTATCCGAGTATACGAGTATCCAAATCACAAGTTCACAACATAATAAGGGATAAGACTTTGACTCTAGACTTTTCAGCTGTATAGCATTATCTAGGTATATAGTGTTAAAGATGATAGAGATTTGATACAAATAGAAAACGCCAAAAAAAAAAAAGAGTATAATTACAATATATGAAAATTATAATAAATTTATGACCTCTTTCCTTTTCTAGGTAGTGTTACCATAGATTTTGATGTCTAATGACGAAATATACAAGGTTCAACGTCATTTTGCACATGCTAGGTTATTATTTAACCAATTGGGAAAATCCTTGTTTTATTCGGAACTACTTCTTTGGGACATACATAAGCCACAAAATGCCACATAAATGAAGGAAAGTTGAAAATGACCGTGACTGGTCTTGGCATTCTCAATCTTGTCCCCTCAATGTGTTCGGAAAAACAAAAAAACAAATTTCACCCCTTCTCATCACTCTTTTCCTCTTTTCACTATATCCAGGTAGGATGACCTTATAAGAATATATTTCAACAATACTCGAGTACTCATGTACTCATTCAAAACATCACATCTCATCGTTTTGTACCAGCTGAAATCCAATATGTAAATCATTACAGTAGCAATGATAAATGTTATGCTCCAAATTTCAAAGTTTTGCGTCAACGGCTTTGGCTTCTAGACTCCTTAGATTTCCTTGGGCTCGATAAAATCAGTCGATTAGACCTTACACAACCTTACAAACTTAGCCATGTAATCATACAATCATGCTATGAGATTCGTTACACCGGCTAGAGTCATCAGTAGCAGTGGAATGATTTCCCGGCCATGTGGTCCAAAGGTGACACAGCATCTCGAAGAATACATATATATATATATACCCAAAAATGTGGTAAATGCGCCAACGACAAAATGTACCAGCTATTTCAAGGAGGGAGGTAGATGTACGAGTGCTACCCCAGTTGCTTTTAAAACGAGGAGGACGTTTTCTGGTCATTGGTATTACTACCTATCAATACTGTGGAATATGTCATTTGCTGTGTTACACATCTTCACTCACTCCATATATGCAGTTTCTTCTGCTCCTCTCTCTCACCTCCCCGGCACACTATGCCATTCTGCAAACCGTTCATTCGGTAGCTCCGAAACTTCATGGCAGCCAGGTTTTGAATTCCGAGACGTGGCGGTATCTAAATGGGGATGGTATGCAACTCTTACGTTCTCTCGCTACTTGTTGCTTTTGGGAGGAAGTGGAATCAATGAACTCCTATCCTACATACACAGACAACCTCATCCCGGAGGTCTGGATTGAACTCAATCCATCTGCAGACAGTATATGCCAAGTTGCCGGAGTGTTACGTCCAAAGAACATGAGGCTCTTGGCCTTGCATTTACACCATAACTCTCTCCAGACAATTGGCTCGGTCACTCAACAAAACATACTATTTCATGGGAATTGCAATCTCAAAATCCACGTTACACAAGATGCATAGACACACTCTGCGGATCATATTCTCCATGATAAAGGCCGAAGAAGTTTTTTATAGTGTCCAAGCCATATTTCATGAGCCTCAATGGGGGATGCCTACTTTGCCTAGCTGGCCTTAGCTACATGGATAGTTTGCGTTCAAATCCTTCTATGTGGGACTATGTTCCTCGCCACTCATCCAAGGAGATTTACCGATACTGTACTTCTCGAATGTTGTCCTCTGCTATGGGGGGAAAAAACCATAGTGACGTTGCTCTGCAGCTTTGCAACAAATATATAGTTCTGGACAATTAGGCATGTTCTCCACAGCCCCAGTCTGGAGTTGCATGGTCTCAACAGTCGGGTTTCCATCTCCTCATGGCGGGGTATCTCAGCTTCCGGGTACGATGTTGTGGTTTTGAGGTGTGGAACACGTTATTCCCATTATTCGGAATGGAAAGCCTTCCACGATCGAGTCTTACCTAAGCCCAAAGTCCCCTTGCGAATAGCCTTCAGATACAAGGTTGTGATCGATACGACTGAGGATGGACGATTCGGATAATAACTCCATTGATATTATGATTTGTCACAATATATCTTCCATCTAAAGACGATCTCATTTACCAACGAGCGTTGAGACTTTATAGTACGACGAAGAAGAGATGTGGTATCACTTCTTGGCCGGGTAAGCATAAGTCCGAGCCCCTAAATGAAGTTCTTCGCAATTACTGCAAAGGTGCCACGTTTCCGGTATAAGCTCTTTCCGTATTTTGGGATCACAACAAATCCTAAAATTTAAGGGATTAATTTGGCCCTTTTAAGACGAACGCCCTCGGAGACGCGGGTAACCAACAACTATCGATGAGATGCGCGATTCAAGAGTGATAATTGACTCTTGATACATCGGCTTAATCACTATGTGGTTCTCAATAAATTTCACTGCCAAAATAGACAGAATCGCAGATCTCAAGAAAATCTGCCGCGAACCATAAACTCCCGAAATATGCGGCTTGTGAATAGATAGTCAAGACTTGACCAAACCTTTCATCTATACATCCCTACATGTTTCATCACTCGATTGAACATACTCAGGTCCCAAGCTTTCAGTTAAATACTTTCACAAGATGTAGCACAAAAGTTGCAAGCTTCAAGCCACGACTGACAATCTCCAAAGTCGGATCAAACAGCCAGTTATAACGATCTCTGAAGCTCGAGACTGAATACAAAGTAAACACCAGCTCATATGATTTGGTACGATGCGTATTCGAAGGCCGGAATTACCAATTGAGGTAGCAAGCAAGCTTTATACCTTAAATTGAGCGAAAGTTTGGTATGTTTGAAGTCATCATATCTGAACTATACGTCAACTGTTCGGTGGAGCCAAAGATACTAACTACGCAGCAAATCATTACTCAAAAGTTCTATGACGATGAGTAGATCCCTTAGCTCTCGGCATCATATTATCTCGCTCCAAACTCTCATCCGAAGTCATTTGCGCATCACCTCATTAGCTCCCTCATTTGCCGGTCCCCTCCGAGTCCCAAGCTCCCACACCAAACTTAAATTCACTGCCGACCCACCGATCCTCTCATATATATACCGCAATAGAGAAAGTTCTCTCGCCAATTCGACGGCACACGACAAAAAAACCTCCATGGCTTAATGGTAAACGACCCGACCTTCGACTTTCGACTTTCGACTTTAACACAGCAACCAAAAAGAAAAGCCTCGGAAACGCATAACCCCTATGCAATCACCAATCCTGGACTGATCACCCAGGATATACGAATAATACAATACGATACGGCTATATATCTATTGCCCCCTAGGACGACAGGCACAATAGATCCGCTTAGGACGATAAGCATAATATTCTATATAAAGAGAGAGATGAGTATATGTACAATGGATCATCGTTCCCCACCGCGGCTTACCGTGTCCTTGTATATATATACCTATCTATAAAATTGAAAAAAATTCCAACCCTGGGGAATGCCCGGGGAAACAATAGCGTCCTAACAATCTCCTTCGGGGGGTTGGGAGGAGCGGTGAAGTTTTTGCCTTTTTGTGTATTGGTACTAGTACTGATACTGATACTGATACTGGAAGATTTCTAAGTTTCTTCCTTTGTTGTTGCTTTTTTGGAGGGGGGCAAGGGGGGAGATAGCGGGGTTGAGGGCAGCATTAGGTTGGTTTTGGGAAGAGGTAGATAACTACCTACCTACTCGTATCAACTCAACTTGAAGATAGATTAATCAAACTCATTTTATTCTCGTCTTGTCTTGTCTTATCTCATCTTCTTCTCATCCATCACATCTAAGATCTTATATACAGTATAGTAGTACTCGTACACAGACAGAGTCTAAATTAACACACATCACTTCCTTTCAATTTCCAACTTCCACTACTAGCGAGCGCTTATCTAGTATCTATATTATCCATATATGATTCATTACACTCTTACTATATTTTTATTTATACTTATACTCATATTCGAGTCTGTTATGGATATTAGTACTATAACTTTATCTATCACTATTATTATAATTATAAACCGTTTAAAAAAAATATGTTTATTTGGTGATTGGTGATGATATATAAATAGAGAATATAGAAATATGGAAATATAGGAATGCGGGAATAGGAATGCGGGGGTAGTATATAGGGAGTAAGTATATTTTGTTCAAATTGTTTTGTATTATATAAGTAATTAATTATATAGGTTTTATGTAAATTGTAAGTGTAAATGTAAATATAGTTAGCTAGTTTGGCGAGTATGAGGATGAGGATGAGGATTAGGATATGAAGATGAGAAGGGGATGGGATGAAGATGAAGATGAAGATGAAGATGAAGATGGATAGGTGAAGAGGAGCCTGAGGGGGAAGTCACGGAGGATCTGTCTGCATGGAGGATGTGATTTTGATTTTGATTTTGATGGTAGTTGGTAGTTGGTAATTAGTAGTTACAGTGTAATTAGTAATTAAAATACGATTAGTTAGTACGGGTAAGATACGGATAGGTGTTATGTTATGTTATGATGTTATGTTAGTATTAGTATCGGTCGGGATATATATAGGTTTTTTGCCATTTGCCATTTGAGAGGAAAGGAAAGGAAAGGAGAGGAGAGCCTGAGGGTACAATAAATACCTAGTTCTTAGTGGATCGAGTCGAGGTCAAGTTCAACTTGAGTTGATTTGATTTGATATATTATATTTATTCAAAACGATTTAACGAGTTCATTATTACGTTACGTTAATGTTGCGTTGCGTTGCGTTTCATTATCATAAGGATTATCATAACTCATAAGTACAACTTTGAAAGAGCAGATCCAGTTCTAGATCTAGTCTGTCTATCCAAAATACTATCCCATCCCAATTTCAACCAGTTCCAACCAATCCCAATTTAAACACTAACCTCCTCAACCATAACCCCCGAATCCCACCTCGTTACTAATGGACTTTTCATACCATCTATACCACTCACACCAGTCCTCATCCTCTCTTTCTCCCTCTCCTTCTTTTCTTCTCCCTCCAATAACCCCCTATATCTCTCCCCACTCCACTTCCAACTCCCCCCTCCACTCTGCAAACCCACACCCTCTGCCTCTGCATCTAAGCCCCTCACTAACCCCTCCTTCACCTCATCTCTCCCACTCCCCCCCTCCACCTCCACAAAAAATCTCCTCTCCCAAACCCTCCCCTCCACCTTCTCTAACCTCCTCATCTCCCTCTGCGCATTCTCTATCCTCGCCTTTTCCCTCCCTATCCCACCTATATCACCATCCTCCATAGCCTTTGTAACCCCTCGCCACGCCCTCCTCGATTCATAATCCCTCTGTTGATCTATCGGTCTTACCGTCAATGATTTCCTCTTGAGTAAATTCGCGTCACATTGTAATACTGTATTCCCAGTCCTTATATCCGTGACGGTGAATTTGCCGCTCCATTGGCCCGAGGCTTTATATATGGGGATTGGCATCGATGTAAGTGACCTCTTACATTCCCGTTCGTCATAGATTATCGCGGAAAATGAATGCGGTGTTCCGCTCATCCAGCCTTTCGAAGAATAAGATATCCGCGTGGTGAAGCCAGACGATGATCGGATAGAGGAGGTGCAGCTTAATTCGGGAGTAGGAGAGCCGGTCATGAGTCCGGTGATGTGCATGGGTGGCATGGTGATGAGATACGTTTCGTTGTGTTGGGAGAGAGTTAGAAGAGAGTATCCGTGTCGTTCGATGTGGACAGTGGAGCTGAAGTAGGATTGTGGTGCTATGGTTCCTTGGAGCTGGATGCATGGAATTGTGGTTAGTATATGTATGATGTGAAATGTGTTGAATTTATCGAAAAAGATATACGTACTTGTACACCATGTTTGTCATTCCAAATATTGTACGCTGTAGCAGGCGGATGATGACTATCAAATCAAGCATTAGCATTAGCACTTCCATCCCCTATCCTCCTTCTCTCCCAACCACACAAAAACTCACCTAACCTGCTCAGCAACCAAATCAGTCCTCCCAGTACCCTCCCCATCATCCTCCCAATGCCCCATAAAACACTCTCCCAAAAATGGATTAAGGGGTTTTAACCCCTTCTTCTTCCCATTCTCATCTCGAGCACTATGTTGCCATTTCAATGTACTGATAAACCATTTCAAAACCAACAGGGCTCTTTCTTCAGGAGACTCGGAGTGTGTGGGTGCGATGAATAGAGAGGGGTGTTCGGCCCAATAGGTGGGAAATTCAACGATTGATTGGGGTGAGAGGAGAAATGGGGGGGCCGTGAGGGTCGAGAGGTCGCCTTTGAATGTTGCGATGGACTTTAGGATTGGGTGTTAGTGAGTGTGGGTTATGGTGATAGAGTAGAGGGTTTGGCTGGAAGTGGAGTAAAGCTATTCCAATTTCACGCCAGGAAGCTCATGACGGTACATCATCCACTACACACAACTAAGTGCTTGCCGTACATACTCTTCCCATTGCACATTTCGTTTCGTACCCAGCCATCGAAGATTCGAAAATACAATTCATACAGAGAGAAATTCGGTAGAAAACACACCTTGATGAATCCAAACCACGCACTCTTATGCTGAGGAGCAATCTTCTCATCTTTACACTTCTCCATCTCTTTTTTGCTCAATATACCGTATAGATCGTAACTCGTAAATGAATTTCTTTTTGAGAACCAAAAGCTCTTTTGAATTGATTTGATCTTTGTAGTCAAATCTCATTCATATAATTATCCGTATACAAAACAAAACCAGAATCTATCAAAAGTACACTACTCAAGTATTTATCTCCTAGAGATATATAATAAACAAAAGATAATAAAAAAAGAATATTATTAATAATATACGCTCGAAATCCAGAGATCCATACCTACCCTATCTATCTATCTATCTATATACACAATGAAAACCAACACAGCCTACCTAACCTACCACCTTCTCACCTATGATGCTATGATGCAAAATGCATGATTGGATGATTCAGTATCAGAATCGTCTAGAATCCATGATTTCGAAACGGCAACTGCTTCATCCGAGATCTGCTTCAACCGAATCCGAGACTGAAACATCCGCATCAATTCCAATGCTTTGCTGACATATCATATACATATAACGATACTGGCTGCACGGCATTGCATTGCCCCGGTCGCATCACATCGAATGTGATATTGGTACGGTGTGCCGGGTATAGTTATGGTATGGAGAATTCTATCTTTATCTTTATCTTTATCTTTATCAACTGTAATTGTAATTGATATGAGATAAGATGAGATGAGATGAGATGATTTGTCATTGGTGGAGTGACATTTATGGCGAGGAAATAATTAGGGAAGAGAGACCAGAAAGGAAGAAAGAAAGAAAGAATAAATATTTTCTTTGATGACATGTGATAGGTGATGGGAAGGAGCTTTATAAATACTGGGTTGAGATCAAGCAGGAGATCAAGTTGATAAAATGTGGGGAGATGGAGCTCTTGTCGTTTGCCGGTATGGTTCATTAGTATATAGCATATAATATATAATATAATGAAATATAATACTGTATCAATGTTATCATAACAGGGTTCTTTATAGAGTGGAGTAGAGGCTCTATATTAATAGATTGACAATTTGACACTTGTATCAAGTATTCAGTATCAAATATCAAATATCAAATATCAAGTATCAAAATACCAAGTATATCACAGAACATACACCAAAAAAGTCGTGAAATAAGATTCGTGAAAATCATGTATATATGTAGGTATGAAAGAAGGCATAGAATTGAATAGAGCTGCTACAAAACAGCGTATGGGTATCAAATACAATCCGAAAAGCCTGCCCCAAATCCTTCCTCCAACCCCGAACGCCAAGTCTTTCTAACCCATTCCATATCTACCGTGAAGTTGTTTGTTGTTCGACGACCCGTTCTGAGTATCGTGCCATACCAAACCAGACCTTCACTAGATCCCCGCTGGATCACCGCTAAACCACTGCTAGACCACTGCTAGACCACCGTTTTATCAATTCAACCTATCCATCTCTCATCTATCCCTATCTCTATCTCTATCCCATATCTCCATCCTCGCCTTCTCTCCATTCAAAGACTCATATCTTCACTTCTCCTCCTCTCACAACTCTTCGATCGAATTTCCTTCAACTCTCTCTCCGTATCCATCAATCGTTTTTGGACCCAGAGCCTATATCTAGCATCACTCTTCACACTCTCACAGTTGAGTAAATCCGTCAAGGTAGTTTTGATTTGCTGATTCACATTCTTCAGTTTCTGTTCATCTCCCTCGATTTCTTCCACCACCGTTTCATCAACCACAGCTGGCAGAGGATGGATGCGAAGCTCGTGCGGAAGATGTTGCATGTGGCCGAAAGAAGATGGGAGACTGCCTCGTCGGGATCGAGTATAGGTGGTGGGTTGGCTGGGTGGGTTCATAGACTCATTGCTGCCGGTGCTGCTGTCGGATGAGACCGAGGAGTTACGATTACGGTCGGTGGATGAGGTTGGACTTCCAGGGATGGATGCAGTGACTTGGTGGAGGTGTTTTTGAAGAGCATCATGTTGAGAGTGGAGGAGCAGATATTTCTGCAGAGCAAATGCTCTCTCGGGTGATTTTTGTGTAGGATTCAGAACTGCCATTGTGAATTTTGATGGTGTTCAATTATTGTATTATTGTGTAGTTGTAGGTTCGAGGTATGTATGTGTCGATGTAAAAGTTTGTATCGTGTTTGCTACTTTGTTTGATAGTGGAAACAATTTTGAGTTCGATAAGCTTCCTTGCTATGCTAAAAAAAGGATACGAGCGGCTATGATATCCTGTAGTCAAAAGTAAATATCGAGTGAATAATTCCATTCGAGGAAACCTCAAGTGAATGGTAGCAATATATATATATCAGGAACATCCTGACGTGACGTAGCCGTCCGATGCAACTTCGTGCAATGGAGAAACATCCCCGGAGTAAATCTTCCTGGGTTTTTTTGTTCTTCTTTGTATTCTATACTCCTACCTTATTCCACGGCACCCACTCTCTTGTAACATAAATGTAACAAGACGGAGGAGAAGGTCAGCGAAAGATTGTCATGTCTTAAAGAAATTTGTTTACTGTTTTTTATTTGCCAGAATCCTTTCAGATCTCAACCAATGATAATGAAGAAAGATCATAAGATCAAGCCACATGCACCGCCACATCGGGTCTTTTTTGAAAGATTGATGCTTTGTGGCGTCATTTTGCGAGATTAAAAATATCAAGTTTCTGTCATTTTGAGTAGGATTCCCTTGTTACACCTTGGTTGGTGTGCATATACTCTGTCCGAAGATCAGTTAATCCAATTTTTCTATTTTCTTTATCGAATAGGGTTGTTTTGCCCTGGCATAAGATCATCCCTCCATTGCTAAAACATGGTCCTGTTAATTTAATTTTAGAAATTGCCCTGATATTCTAGACTTTAGGAGAAAGGATATGCGGCGACACGTATTCGCATGTAAGAGAGAGATCGATTGATCGCAGTACGTATTGATTTTCGGCGAGTCACTTTGATATCATTCAGGAGCAAATCCCCCTTCCCCCCCAAAATCCTTATCACAAATCCTTGTGCATCTGTGATACACACGTCGGGAAGCTCCCAACGGATGAAAATGATGTATGTATGATTAGATAAATACCACAACAAAAAGTCCGAAGCCCCATTAGTCTGTCTGAGTATACTCAAGCACTCGCCGGTAGTTCTTTTGCGAGTAGGAGTTTTGACTTTTGAGATGTACACGGGTTTCTAGGAAAGAGATAACGATCTTAGCGAGGGGTAAATGGATCGATTGTTTACTATAAGGGTTCAGAGATTTAGCAACGATCACCTAAAATCAAGCTTAGTGGCTCAGGCCTTGTTTATTAGTGTCAATACATCTCCAGGGATCAGATGTGGTTTCTTCATTTGCTATCTTTTCAGGCTATCCAGGTGGTTAGCCCGGAAGGCACGTCCAATAGGTTCCATATTTCAAGTGCTAACCATCTAGCCAATTCCAGCTCTCGGATTTTTCACAAAAAGCTAATATATCCTGCCCACCAGAAGCTTTCGGATTGAGCTAAACATTACTAAGTACGTAGCAAACAACCTTTACTCATCCTCTATTTCTTCTGCAAGACCAATACCATAATCACCGCGAATCTGTTGCTTTGTCCCTCCTCCACCGATATACATAGTCCTATCAGGAGATGATGACTGCACATTTGCTCTCAATCCTACAAACGGTTGAGGCTTTGTGAAGACGACTTTGCGTTGTATTCCTAAAAATGACTTACTCTGAGCTGGCTCTGATACATCGACTTGGGAACCTGGGACAACGACCATGGAAACCGATTCTGGTTCCGAAGTTGAGGAGCTACTGGAATTTGACATGTTGAATTTGGTCGGATAAGGGCTTTTGGCGCCAGCATTTCGATTGACTTCGCGTTGTCTTTCTTTGTATTGAGTACCCCTATTCCGAGCAGATAACTCCAAAAGACTGTCGTTGTCATTGGATTGTTGAGCATATGTTGAGAACCCAGTGAATTGGTTGATTTCGTCCTCCGGAGCTCTATTTTCTCCTAGCTGGGGATTTTGCCAAATATCGCGACTGCGGGCAGAAGCAACGAATCTAGGTCGTAATGGGCTCTCAGAGTCGACTGAATTGTGTACAAATGTTGAGAATGTTGGTGATAGTTCCTCCTTCCTCCTCTCGTGTATTGCGGGTAAACGACTAGGCGTCATATTGGTATTGCCTCTGGGAGACTTACCCTGAATGATTGCCGGTCCAGTCCTAGTGGGTCTAGTCTTTCTGGATAATACACCCTCTTCTTCACTATCATCGTCAAAAACAAATTTCATCCAGAGTTCGTTTTGGTCTGTTTCCTTCTCAACAATTCTTGCAGGGCAATCCTTTATCATGTCGGTATTTTGGTCCAATTTCGACAACATAACCTGGTGCTGTAGTGTTGTCTCCTCTGGCTCCGCAATTTGTCTGGCAACGGCAGGCTCTTGTTGGAGAGGAGAAGTCTTGGACTGCGGACTCTCGAATAACTTGCGCTGACAAAACGCGGTCGTATCAGGACTCGGGCTCCGAGGAGGGTTCCAGGGAATGCTTGAAGATGTTCTCTGTGAGGATTGACTGCAGTGCGGTTCTATCGAGGATTCGTCTTCGTTCTCGTATTGATCGGATGCTACTCGCACTCCCATATCATCTATAAGCTCGTGATTATCAGACGAGAGAGGCTGGTCATAGAAGTCCGAGCTATGTGGCACTTCATTGTGTGAGATATGATTGACGTTATCGGACCGCGGTATCTTCCCTTCAGATGGTTCTGTAGGTTCCAGTATCATCGAGCTCTCGCAGCCTTTCCACGACTCGGAATAGTCATATTGCCCGCCAGAACTTTCATTATCAGATTTTAACCCATTGGAAGCGCCCTCACGGAATATTAAAGTGGCACTTATTCCTGGACTTATTGATGCTATTCGACCCTTGGAACTTCCTTCGCTTTGATAATCAAGGTTGCCATATTCTGTACCTGTAGACGGTGCCATCCATGTCTTCCATATATCATCATCCATGACTTGATCTTCGGGAACGACACGTTTGAATCCTCCAACTTGTACAAGCACACTGCTGTTGCACTTGGGCGAACTTAAGTGGAGGACTGGGTGCTTTTTAGGACGCATGGGTATCGGCTGTTTCATCCTGGCATCGCAAACCGACTTGACGGCTGTGCGAGGAAACTGTGAAGTTTTACCGCCAAGCTCATCTGGATTTACGTTTCTGTTAGCTTTGCTAAGAGCTGCACGTTCGAGACCCTCCGGCCTCTCTTGGTGTCTATGTGTACGGCGGGCAACCTGGTCACGGCTCGATGGAATGCTCATCGCGGAATCTTGATTCCGTCTATTGCCACGTGTTCTTGCTTCGAAGGCGGAAAGAAATCTATCACTATTCAAATCAACCCGGTCCTCCATGTTATACTCATCATCGAGCAGCATCTCATCCGATGACAATATTCGGTGCATTTTGCGTGGTGTAGATTGACGGATGAATTTACTCGGTCGCGAACTCGAACTTATACCCGGTGGAACAACCCTACCACCAATCGAAATCCTAACATCGCTTTTTGGAATTCGCTCTCGCAGATAACCCTCTCCTTGTTCACGTATTTGGGCTTTCCGTGTGGCGAATGGCGAGCTGATTCTTGTCTGGAGTTTGGAATACCTTGCCCTGTGTCCATCTTTTACATTTCTCCTGCGCCCAATATCTTCATCATGTTTTGGAGGATGAAAATTCAACTGCGGCAAACGACGAATCCTCAAGCCAACCCAGTCCCCTTGATTCAATAGCTTCCGTCTCTTTTCTTCCATAGACTCTTCCTTCGGTTCTCGCGACTCGTAGTTTCGCGGAATACCCCTAAGTTCTAGTGATGCGGCACGTTCGCGCTTGATTCTCAATGGCGGAGGGGTCGCATTATATAAATCATCGTCCGGGACGGAATTTCTTTGAACGATTTCAATTGACGGAGAACGATTGTTCGCATGTATAGCTTGGGACTCTCTGCGGAGCGAGTTAGATGCAGGAGGCTCATCGTCGTACTCTTCCGTATCATCCCGGTGTTCTCGCCCAACTTCACCTCTCTCCCTTTCCCGCCTCGAAGTATGCTCGTAATACCTTCCTGAATTTGCATGACTCAAGGACTGTCTTTGTGATTGATCGACTGAAATTTTATCAAAAATTGACCATCTTGCAGCGCTATTCTTTTGACCACCGCTTCGTAGGCTAGCTTTCACTTTTGCAAAATGCTCCTTTTGTCGATTGGTCAAGGCACCACCATCACGAGAAGACTTTCCAGAATGCCTTTGCAGGCGTCCTCCTGTCCAATTCATTTAATGATACTCATATGAGGTTATTCAAACAAATGATATATGACTGTTGAAATTATGTTTGGATGAAAGTGAGGTGAGGTGATGTGTGTTGATATTTGAGAGAAGCGAGGAGAGACCCAACGATATACAGTGGGGTATGTGCTTCAGTTCACTTTCCATCGACCTCACTGTAAAGTATCCGTCTCGTCTTATTTACGTTCTTACATGTATATCTGATAGCTCATAATCTGTAAAATTACATTTGTAAGGAAAGGAAAGGAAAGGAAATAAAAAAGTCAAGACGTGCAAGAACAATCAGGACTGAGATTGAGACTACTGCGTATATTATATTATCGAATCAACCATATATGATGTATCTCATCTCACACGACCAATTAAATGTGCATACGGAGGACATCATGGCCAATATCTAATATCGGCATCTTCATGTTCTTGATGTATAGAAATCTAAATGTTCGTTATATCGCTGTACTATTATCCAAAATATGTGTATTTATGCAACGCGAATGATCAATGCTATGTATCATTTGGATATGGCTCCAATATACCTTTATGCCTATCTCAAGCATTTTCTCCATCTTCTCACGCAGTTCTCTCTCTCTGTCTCTTTGTCTCTCTCTATGTTAGTCCATACCTCAATATTCACACCCACCCACATTTCCCTAGTGAAACTCAACCTCCACTCTCCCATACCTAAACCCATCGACCTTCAACTCGAACGCCAACCCCGCACTCTCGACCACCATCTCCAGCGTAAAATCCAGATTCAGAAACTCTACTCCCCTCGTAGTTGTCAATCTCGTATACAAACTCTTCGGTACAGCGCCAAGATCCGTAGTTAGCTTGCACACACTTATTAGGTCCCTCGTATAGGATGCTGGAGGTTCCACGTCAGAGTCGCACGCGATGAGATCGTCGGATACGATTAGTGATTGGCCTGGGCGGAAATTACGCGTATAGTGAAAAGAGATGGGAGTATCGGTACTGAGGGTATCGCCCTGGATGGAATTAGCGGTACTGTCGAGAGAGACATGGAGGGAACGAGAGAATACCTTATTGAGATGCCATTGCATCCTATCACTAACCATCCAACGTTCCCATAATGGACTCCAATACCTCTCACTGACATTATGTTTATCCTCATCATAAACCGTCGCATATGAAGTCCCATAATGCATTCTCGCCTTCCTAGACACCACCACACTTCCCTCCAAACCTTTGAGAACCGCCCCTCGAACCACAGCCGTCCATGCATTTATCGGCTGCATAACCTCCACAGAATTACTCTCTGCTAAGGCTACAGATTGCGCGTGAGTTGGTCGTTCACTGTATGGTGGAGGTGCTGCGCTGTTGAAATGTGACTTTAATCTTTTGTATAGATGGTTGCTTTGTCCGAATCCCCCTACGAGTACGATACCAGAGACGATTCCTCCTTTTTGTCTGATACCATCAACTTGGCCTTGTACCAAATCACACACCTCTTTTACGACTGGCTCGAAAATTTCTTTCACCTGAGCAGTCGTCATAATAAAAAAGCCACCATCCAGTCCGGCATCTATATCATCTGCTAGACCTGGAAGAGGAATATTGAACTCTGTGTTGTTTTCTTCGTCGAAATCTCGTTTCACGTATTCTTCCCAGTACTTCAACCCCATTTGCCAGGTTTTAGCTTTCTTCATCTTCATCTCTTCGAATCGTGCGACTCCTATCCGACTCTTACAATGTTCCTCAAATCGATAATTAAGAAATGCGCTCCCACAAAGTCCTCCTGTGCCTACCGCAGACTCTTTTACTTGCAATGGCTTAAGAGATATAATTTTATAGGCGATGAGATCGACTGTACCTCCTCCAGCATCACATACCACGAAGTTATCACCAGCTTGTAGATGATTCGGCTGGATGGCTTTCAAAGTGTAGACAGCAGCGGCTTCTGGCTCACTAATCATCTGGATGGCTGACTTATCACCCATTCCCGCTCTCTCTGCTGCCTGAAGCGTGGTATTCTTCGCAGCATCAGACCAGACTGCAGGGCAAGTAAGGACAAATTCCAGTTTCGTAGTGGACATAAATAACTCTCCATATCGACGAGTTAAGGTTTCAATTGTATGTTTATAGATTTGGGTCAAATAGTCACTGACAGCATCGACAACATTTTTACTGTGCTCCTTCAGCTGATTCGCTGTCTCGGCTGGACTAACGTAAAAAGGTAATTTTTGAGACCGATCGAGAAACAATTTGATACATCGTAGTCGAGGCTCTTCAGGTCGGAACTGACAACCCCATTTTATGGTGGGTTCTGTACCTGCTGGTGACCCTGGTGGTCTGGAGTATCCTATTTCCGTTGGCACTTTGTCGGATGTGATTCCGTTACTTCCAGGCCAACTTTTGATGATATCTACATCATCAGGATTCGATGTGTATACAACAGCAACACTGTATTTATGTTAGTCAGTCTTTGTGTTGTAATTGAGATCAAAATTGCATGAAGCGGCCAATACGAATGAATTTTCTCAGATGAAGCGTCATAAGACGAAACCTCTAAGAACTCTAAATGGCCAGAAAATAGAGTCTTGGATATGACTAAAATACAAAGCACAACCGGTAGTATAACTGAATTACGCAATTATCCAGAAATTGAGGATCCCTCTTTCGCGGTGTCACAAATATCTTGGCAAGACAAGCTGTAAAATCTGACATACCCAGAATATGTTGTTCCGAAATCCAGTCCAACGATTAGTCTTTCATTCACGGGTGCTGGCTCTCGTATTGGCCGGGCGATTGCTTCGGTTGAAGAAGTGGGAGTATAGCTGCCAGAGGTATAGTGATTCCGACTTTCATCGTTTCTTCGACTCGCAGTCCGGATAGGTAGATTGAGATTCATGGTGACCATTTAAAACAATTGGACGTTTTAGGTTTCGAAGAAATCCCACCCTCGAAGGTTTTCCGCTACGATCGTGACTGTGTCGAGATAGGAGGAAGGTCGCTTGATGCCCCTCGATTGAGCCCCACCGAATCCCACACAAGTCCTTTGAATAAAGCAATCGATGAAATGGTGAAAAGAATCAAATCTTAGTTTTATTGCTTTCCCCAGATATTGGATCAGGGAGGTTTGAGCCAAAAAGTTCAAGGGATAAGGTGATTTTGCAGATATCTCAAATGTTTGCTCGAGTGGTGCTTTTCCGGTGTGAAGCGCGAACGTGGGGGAATAACGACAAATGCCAATTGTAGATGTTGACTTAGGGGGAAGTATTTTCGAAAGTCAATCTTTTTGAACTTCAAAAGATAGATATGCACAATAAATGAAGGGGTACAATGATGGCTGATCAGGAACAATATTGAGGGCTTGTCAGGATAGATTAACACTCCGCCATAGGCAGCAGGAAAATAGAAATTCGGAAGCCTGAAGTGACACTGACGAGTCTCTCAGGGTATGTATGTCCTATCAAATAGGATCGTCGCATCCAAATAAGTCGTTTATGTATCACCACGAAATTGTTGGGTATGATTATCCTGAATGAGAATTATATGAAGTTGCAATGAAAACGCGATGCTTATTTTAAGGCGATGGTAGAGTTGGTACAGTAGTGCAGCATACTCGTACCGGTAGTGGTTATGGAATTGCTGACATCCCACCTTCCCCCTTCCCACCCCTACAATTAACATCCTTTAACGGATTGTACTCACCCCTCTTCAGACCATCGTGGCAGAACCAGATCAATTCTTGTCTTGGTAGGGCTGAACATTCTCAAGGCTGCATCTTTTGGTGATACGAGAGACGAGAATGGAATTATGGGCATGTGGATTTAATGCTTGGAATCAACTTCAATTCGAGGGAGATCTTCCTGATGAACCCGAGGATGTATTTACCTTCAAACGGGTATTAACATCGAAGGGAAGTATTAAGATTATTGGGACTTCATTCTCGGCTTCTTTGGGTATGTTGGTATTATTCTCTCAGACTTTTTGTGTTCTGTTTTCAATTCTTTCAATTGTGTCCAATATTTGAAATCCTGAACTGTAGTCACGTGTAGTTCACCTGATCGGTCAGATCGTAAAGGAGAATTCAAGAAGAAGCTTAAGAAGGTAGAAGATCATCTCGAACTAACTCGCTTCTCATCTATAGTAGCAGTATCAGACGACCCATCAGAGCCCCCAAAGAACCTCAAAGTTGCCGGTTCACCAGATGGATTTTTACAAACACAACTCGAGCAAATCACCGCAACGAATAGCGCGAAACTCCCAAAACAGACAGACTCGAGGCTACCTGAAGACAAACCAAGCAACGCAACAGCAGCCGGAAACGACAAAATCGCAGGTACAGTAACTCTCACATGCCTTTACCAATTTGTCACCTCTATCCCCACCTCTATCCTATCCACCCCTCTCCTCTCTAATATCCCATGATTCCCATCATCAAACCCCTACCCTAACAAACCCATCCACAGTTTTCACCTCCACAACCCTAACCCAATACCCCTCTCTCCCCACCTACCTCTCTCAATGCAATCCAGACTTCGTCTATCCCCTCCCCCACATCATGCAACTCGTCTCTAACACCACCACCTTCACTGCTCTCACCCGAGAAGGAAACGTCTACACCTGGGGCGATGAACGCTATCCCGCCTGTCTTGGGCGCGAAATTACTTTATCAAGGTATGTTCTCCTCCCTCATCTCTGGCATCTCCCCATCCCCAATCTCCCACTTCTTTCCCAGAAATCAACAAACCAAACTAACCCCTTCCCAATCCCAGCCCCGCTCACACCCCTACCCTCCTCACCCCACTCCTCTCCCTCCCCACCGGCTCCATCCAGCAGCTCTCCTCATCCGGCCCCCTAACCGGCGCGCTAACCACCGGAAACGATCTCTACATCTGGGGCCGTACCAACACCCCCTCTATTATCCCGGAACTCTCTTCATCCCCATCCTCATCTCCATCTCCATCCTCATCCCCATTTCCAGACAATTATGATCCCATACCCCTCGATATACACGGAGCCGATATCCTCGATTTCGGCATTGGTGAAAATCACATGTTAGTGCTTACGACTGAGGGGGAGTTATATGTTATAGGGGAGAATGGGAATGGACAAGTTGGTCTTGGGGAGGAGGAGAAGGGGAGATGCGAGGAATGGAGGTTGGTAGATTTAGAGTTTGCAGAGGGGAGTGGGAAGAGATGTGTAGGGGTCTGGGCGGGATATAAGTGTAGTTTTGTTGTTGTGGAGGATATCTCTTCGTGAATTCAAACGTGGAATATTCAGTTCGATTTCAAATCAAAGCAAGAGCAATAATATAGAATAATAGTGTCAGTATGGTATCTCTGTGCTCATTTTGCCTTCTTGTGCCATTCTATAATACATCATGACCTTGGGACTACGTTAAAGTTCATTGCTATTGCAAAAGAAAAAGAAAAGCAGCTCATAGATTCGTAAGGTAATCATCAATTTCTTGAGGGCTCAGTTTTCTGAAACGTGGGCCTTGGGAACCCTCAACCCCTTCGACGCCCGATAAGTGATCGGCTGGTGGTCCCACGATACCTAGACATATGTTAGCAAAGTAGAGTACTTACTTGAATTGTTGAACTTACCGATCTCTACTGTCTCGCCGTTCATCTCTCCCTCAATAGTCTCCTTCAACGTCAACAGAGCAATGTGCACGGCATCTTCCAGCTCCAATCCCTCGGTATATCTCTTCTCCAAGAAAGTCTTCGCTGAAGTAGCACTCTTTCCAATAGCAGTCGCCTTCCATGGGAAATAACTACCACTTGGGTCAACCTGGTATAACATAGGTCCACCCTTCAAAACCCCGCCAGTCTTGCTTGATGGTTTCTTCTCATCCGGATGCACCTCCGCACCAGCAACGTCCTCCGATTCTGGCTCAATTCCATCATCCCAACCTGCAATCAACAGACTGACACCATATGGTCGTACACCACCCGATTGCGTAGCTTCTTGCATGACCCGCGCAACATCTTGTACTAATATCCGGGTAGGTGGGTATTCATTGTAGATACGCTTGTAGCCAGTGTGGGATACTTTGCGGGCCTTGTCGACGAGTACACGGTAATCAGGTCCCATGCCGGAGTAGACCATGCCAATGTTTGGTGTGATGAGGGACACTTTTGAGAGGGAGGGTGGGTCGATGAGGGTAGATGAGGATTTCTTTTCCGTGGCGAGGACAATACCATTGGTAGCTGACTTTTAGTTAGCATGTATATGCAGACATAGTGTCAATAGATATACCTTTAATTCCTAATGCAGTAACACCTTGATTGACGGCATTTAACGCATATTCTGTTTGCGATTTAGTGAGTATGTAGATCTGATGGGATATATCAATAGTAGATTTGAAGCTTGGCGCATATTCGCATCAGCTTCATTTGAGGTACGAACCTATTTGGACCAGCTTCCCACTGCAAACCGTTAGCAAATCACCTCAACATGTAGAGCATATCACATAATGCATATCCCTGGGAAGCTATGGTTGTTTAAGCATACCTGGGGGAGAAGGTTGTCAAGGAGAAAGAATATCTATCCGCCATTATGTCTGTTTATTTCGAAACTTATCTCGAGGAGTTCTGAAGTTTCCAAATTACAGAAAAGGGTTGACGGGAAATGTAAAGTGTGGGTGGATGGAAAGTTAGAGAGTGTAGCTGTATTTGAGTATTTGGGGTCGTTGGACTTCGAAGCTACAGGCAGCTCAGGTCCACGACTTACGCGATGTAAATTGATGCCTTAGACGCCGTTCTGAAGTGAGCTCAAACGTCAGGCATCAACTTATATCTCAAGTTCGCATCAATATCTCTATTCTGTATAAGAAATATGTATTCTACATTACTTGTCACGGAAAATTATTCTCTTTCTCTAATGATGTTCCTGATAGAAATTTTTTAAATTCTAATTATCATTATATCTTGAGCAATTTTTATAAGTGATCTTTTTGAATACTAGGTATATAGATTTTCTATCTAGAAATATACCTAGATAGGGACAATCCTCGGGGACTTTACTAGCGCGATCTCGCAAATCGCACACAACCTCAGGATCTGATTCAGATCAAATCACTGGCAACCAACACATTTTTCTTCAAAAGATCATCAAGCCACATCTCATCATTCTTGTCGTCCATGTCTATGTCTCTACATACTATTAATCAAACTTCTTTACTGAAGTTTTCATATGATTGATTTTATTAACCATCGGATCTGTCAAACTGACTTCTTTAGTACATCAAATAAATACCTTTTACTGAAATTTTCTCTTTGTTTCTTCTTTCTCTCTTCTCTCCTTTCCTCTCTTCCTTCGATAGCTCTGGAATCTCCGCGGGGAAGCTATACTTCCATCTTTGACGGCACTTATTAATACTTCAGAAAGTCAATAAATAGCCTAAATCGTTTCTCGGTCAGAGCTTCAAGTTTTTTTAATTTATCACACAACATGACAACTCCAGGAACCACTTGCTCGTGGGATATTCCAGAAGAGCTTGCCTCTCAATCTTCTCACCAAAATCAGCATGACGCATTCACTGGGGACGAGCATGCAACTCCTGCGCCAGAACCAGAGCCACAACGTCGAAGACATTATCCACTTCGACAATGTCGAATATGTCTCGAACCCGTCGAGCCAACTTTCGAAGCTCCTACTGAGGGCATAGCTTCAATGCTCAATCCGACACCTCGAGTTATATACACATCGGAGGATCCCGAATTGGGCCGTCTGATGCGACCATGCAAGTGCAAGGGAAGCCAAAGATACGTACATGAAGGCTGTTTGGCAGCCTGGAGACACGCAGATCCGCTTTACGGGGCACGAAACTATTATGAATGTCCTACGTGCAAGTTTCGGTATCATCTACAGAGAATGAAGTGGGGCCATTGGATTAGTAGTGCATTCACACAAGTATGTCTGACGCTGGCGATATTATTTACGACGATTTTCATCATGGGTTTCGTTGCGGATCCGATCATTAATTTGTATCTGGATCCGTATGAAACGATAGTTTCTCTGCCTTCCATGAGAGGAACGGGTCCAGCTTTACATGTCGAGGACACTGAGGCAAATACTTGGACTGAGCATTTGTTAAAAGGATTGGCGTCTTTGGGAATGCTCGGTTTTGTCAAGATTTTCTTTGCAGTGTCCCCATGGCATTGGTGGAATGTAAGACAGACCGGTATGTTTGGTGGAGGCGGCGCTCGAGCTGGAACGGGTCGAAACCGTCTGGAGAATATCAGTTGGACTCTAGTCATAATTGGTGTCGGTGCCTTCTTAGTTGTGAGTTAATACTGACGCAGGGAACTCTGGACTCGCTAATAGCCTTCAGACTATCTGGAAATGGACCCGCGGTTGGAGTAGAGCAGTGCTCGAAAAAGCTGGCGATAACGTAATTGATGTTGGAGGCGATGATGCTGATGACGAAGAAGAAGAAAAAGCGGCTGAACAAGCAGAGGTTGACGAGCAGGTAAACGAAGATGCTGCTAGTGAAGAGCGACCTCCAACACCTGTCGATTCCGAGACCAGGAAAACGCAATGATGATATGAGAGTGGGCTTGGCGCATAAGTGGTCAAATCTTTACTTCATAATGTTGGGATATGAAATTTGTATAAGCTTTCCAACTATCTCCAAACATATCTGTGAGAACCACATACCTATGAGGTGCTCTTCCCTTTCTCCCCCCTCTCATCCCACCCTCGCACAATCTTAAGTTGCCACGAGATCCTTCTCAGTATCGTGCCAATTAGTCTTCGTGCGAAGAACAAGCCAACTCAGCTGGCGCCCAGAAATCCTGAACGTCTTGTTCTTTTTTCATATACCGGCAAACCGCGAGTTATCTGTCAAATCCCCTTTTCTTCTCATATACAACCGGACTCTCTTTTGGGAAAAGTTGGAATATGAGATGTACGTTCTGATTCCTTCGCTGCAGCACTGGTTGTGGCTTTATGCTAGGATGGGGAATCGGATGGGGAGGTTGATACATTTGTTTGAGCGAGAGAGATATTTGGAAGTTTTTGAGATGGCGGATGGGGGGTTGTGCGGAGGGGGGGTGGGGGTGAGGGTGAGACGAGGGTAAGGGTTGTGGTTATGTAGCGCGGTCTATCTAAGACTTACTTTTACTTGATTTAATTTATTGTTTTGGAAATGTTGTTCTTCTTCAGTTACTTTTTAGTGTCGCATATCGTGTTCATAAATCAATACTCTCTCGTCTGTTGTTACATAGGATGACAATTCTCTGATGTGCAAATATACGTCCAGCAATCTGCATTGTATCTCACATATTGTATGGAGCTCTCTACTGTTCCTCAATCTTTATTCACCTCGAACAATCAACACATCCCGTCTAACTATACAATCCACTTGTAATCTGATACCTAAATCTATTTTACATCTACACATCTCTCCTATAATCAAATTTAAACTCCCTATGCCTCACAAAAAGCAATATGAGCCTCTAATTCCTCCTCAGCCTCAAATTTCAAGTCTGTACCAACTCCCACAAAAAAGACATAACCCTCCTTCGCCTCAAACGATTCCTCTCCCGCCTTCATCGATCCTTTACCCCCCGTCACAATCAGTATACTGGGCCCTCCCAACTTCTCAATCGTTTCCTTTTCTCCTTTCTTGAGTGCTGTCACCAACATGTTGAATTCGCTCATGGGCGGTGCTAATACTTTGGTCTTTCCTTGTTTGCCTTTGGAGCTTGCTGTGGGTTTGAGTATACATTCTTCCTTTCCCACGGGGGAAAATGTAAGAGCGGCGCTGAATAGATCGACGGAGTCGCGGTCGGCGCGGGGACAGAAACCTGTGTTGAGGACGTTGTCGGAGCGCGCCATGCATTCAACGATGTCGCCGGATAGGTAGGCGTGGATACCGTCTGCGGGGACGTAGATGGCGTCGCCTTTTTCGAGGATTAGAAAGTTCATGGTGAGGAGGGCGACGAGGTTGCCGGGGTCGGAGGAAGAGTATTGGGAGGCGAGGCGGGGGAGGAGGGTGGGGATGTAGGGTGCGTGGGGGAATTTGGAGGGGGGGGTTTCTAGGAGAGTGTTGTAGATGGTGGTTATTTTGGAGTCGGAAAGGGATAGGATTTTATGGACGATGGATTTTAGGGCGTCTTTGTCTATGGTGTCGAATGGGGAGGTGAGAAAGTTGGAGGTGAGGACTGGGATACTGGTGAAGAGGGATTTGATCTCAGAAAGGGGTTTCCAGCCAACGAATATTTCGAATTTTCCGAGGGCGACGGCGATCTCGGGTTTGTGGTTTGTGTCGCCGAATTTCTCGGGGTCTTGCTCGTGAAGCTTGGCCGCGAGCTTCTTGTCAGGGTGTATTTGTAGAGGGAGAGCTTTGGCTATTGAGAGAATCTGAGGATTAGGGAGGTTAATATGAATATTCCCGTGACGGAAATTGCTGGTACAGAAAGTGAGTGAGGTAGGTAGGTAGGTACCTTTGGTAAAAATGGGAGATCTGCGCCGAATTTATCGAGTATGGGTTTTCCAATCAACTTCTCCTTGTTGGTATTGAGATGTTCTTGGAGATTTTGGCCGTTCGATAGGATGAGAGATGGTGTGGTTGGATATGTGCCCATCCACATCTCGGCGTATTCTTTACTCTCATCAAGTTTGAATTTGCCTCCTGGTGTTGAGGCTGCATATTTTGCTGCTAGAGACTCCTTGCCCTGTCGTCCCCATGGGTAGTTGTTGCATTGGCATTCTAGCTGGATTACTGAAGATGTCATTGTATGGAATCTGTATGGAATCTGTATGGAATCTGTTTGGAGATGCAATGTTTGAAAATGCGCGGGGTATGAAGTAAGACAATATTCAATGGTAATTAATATTGGGTATGAAATATAGGAGAATTGATACCTACCAAGCTTTTAAGAGATTCCCATACCTTTGTAGCATCAAGGGCATATCTTCCATACACTTACATACATAATGACGTTGAATTAGGAACAGTGTGGTTCGATTTGTTGTGACATCATGTGGATGAAGGGGGGAAAGGTTAAATAATCGATCAACCGAAGATTAATTGCTGGAGTCGCTTGTCTTTCTGAACCCACTTTGACTGAACTTATAAATTCTAGAAAGGATCAATTATTATTAAAAAAAAATATATATATGATTTTTGGAAGTTGGAGAAGGTTGAAGGGAAGTAAAAGGTCGAGGTTGAAGGAGTTCTCTTCCGGGTTGTTCTTGTAGATCCATTCCTTAGTGAGTTCTGAACATCGATGGTACCTGAGCTACCGGTACCCCTATGATTTCTTACCTAGAACCGTTCTCATTGTAGATATCCGGATATGTACTTTCGCCCCTTAGGTATAATAAAGAGGGGGGAAGAGATGTAAACCTTGTTTACTGTCCCGTCATTTAGTTTTTAATATGTGTGTGTGTGTTCTGGTGATTGAAAACTACAAAGTTTATATGTACTGTTATCGATTACCGACTTCTTATTTTTTAAACTCTGTATTCTACTCCAGTACAGTACCTACCTAACCAACTTCGAGCCAAGAACAAATTTCCCTAAAATCAACATAATCTCATTTTCTTCTTACAACGGCAACACCACTTTCTTTTTTCATCTTGTTGTCGCAGGAAGTCGACTTTGAAGCATTCTCTTCATGATCGATATGCTATACTGTACTATTCTTTGTAATAAACTTTAATCTCGATTCCCAAAAGACCCTGTTACCACCAACCCAGCCAGTATCTCCACTCAACGCGCCAAGTGTTCACCATAACCATCAAATACGAAAGGACACAGCACAACAATCTCACCCTCCTGTGCATCGCAATTGATAATTATTAAAAGTCCCGTACGACGTTGGGGCTACAATTATTGCCAAAAGCTGTAACGATTGTAGCAGGTGCCTAAGGGGCCCAGTACATACGACATAATGCATTTGGCATACCCCTCGAGGAAAGCCTCGAACCCTCCAGCATATCTTGCGCCACGGTCCTCGCGTTTCCCAATGCTACGCAGAAGTAGGGTGAAGACGATAGTTTTGTGTGCCTGTGCCATAGGGGTGGTATTCTTTATACTTTCGCGTATACTCGGGGGAGCAGATGGAATCCCATCAGGGACTCCGCCAGTTGTAATAGTCACAGTATTGGATACGGTGGGATATAGTAGAGAATATCAGGACAGCGTAAAGGAGAATCGGATTCAGTATGCCAGGAAACATGGTAAGCAAACGACAATGCGAATAGCCACATCTCGCTATTCTGATATCAGAGCAAGAAACCAAACTGATCATTCTTAGGCTATGCAACATTTTTCCCTAGTATTGGAGACTACGATATTCAAGGATCGCCGAATTCATGGTCCAAAGTTCCCGCTGCACGACACGCATTATCACAATTTCCACATAGCGAATATATTTGGGTTTTGGAGCAGAATGCCCTCATCATGAATCCTGCGCTTAAAATCGAGGACCACATTATGAACCCAAAACGTTTAGAAAGCTTGATGATCAAAGATCAGTCTATTGTACCGCCGGACAGTGTTATCAAAACGTTTCCAAATTTGAAAGGCGGGAGTATCGATTTGGTACTCACTCAGGATAAGGACGGTCTGTCGCAGGCTAGTTTTATTATCAGAAAGGGGGAGTGGAGCAAATTCTTCCTCGATACATGGTTTGACCCTCTGTATCGTTCTTACAATTTTCAGAAAGCGGATACACATGCATTGGTAAGTGCAAATATGTCTTTTGGAGGTCTCAATTCTAACAATAATCAGGAACACATTGTACAATGGCATCCAACGATCTTGTCGAAGTTGGCACTCGTGCCACAAAAAATAATGAATGCATACAATTCAGATGAAGCAGAAGGATACAAAGATGGAGATTTCGTCGTCCGATTACCAGGTTGCGACCAATCTGGGCGAGACTGTGCAAAAGAGGCTGAAAAATACACAAGACAATGGAGAACTGTCTTCGCACAGCGATGATCCAAACCTCTACTACGATAATTCTCCAATCCTCATCACCAACATCTAAGCATGCTTAGGGCTATAGGAGGCCCTTATGATCTACGACTGGTGGGCAAGGCGTTTGCAGGCGTACAACAGCATGAGGACAAATGTTTGCATAAACGTACAATACCAGCGATGACGTCTACAGGAATATAGATATCGTCGAGGCTGGCAGATGTAGTTTACTTGGGGAAGTAAGACTTTTTCCTGTGTATATTATCTGAAGATTACATACCCCAACAGTCAATAGTACTGTTTTTTCAATACTTGCAGAAGCAGATTTATGTCCTATTAGTATGCTCTCCAGGATAAGATATGTGATGGATTTTTGATCGGGAGAAGATGAATGAGAGCATAAAAGTCACGTTATCGTCCGAGGCATTGCCATCTTCATGCGATTTCGACGAACTTCTGTATATCCATGTAGCATCAAAATATGAACAATTTATCAGATAAAACGACTATATAATATGTTTTGAAAGATCAAGTCCACTTTTATATGACGATATATGAAATCTCTCAAAACCATTTCGAATTGAATTTACAAGGGCAGACCTGATAAGGAACATAAAGAAGCAAGCATGTGATGAGTAACACCCTCGGCATCTCCATTGTATCAAGGAAGAAGAAACTCCCGATGAAGACGACGACTTTTGGCCTTTCACAATTTATCTTATTTTTCCACACCCCAACTTCCTTTCACCATTCTCATCACTCACCGATTGACCGTCCCATAAGATGCCCGGTAGTTCGAGAATGCCCGTAAGCTTGCGCAATAGCTTCACCGTCAAAAAAGGCTCTTCAAGTGGTGGCCAATTACTGGCTCTGAATATTGATCTGTATGTATATGTTCTATGCTCCTGGACCCACCGTGTATGCGATAAGCTATACGATGTGTTTGCATCTTGTCACCGATGGAATAAACTTTTGCTGATCTTATATTGTATTGCAGACTTCGAAATGTCATATTCTTTTTATTCTTACTGAGATGGACGAGGAAGTGTCTATTGAAATTGAAAGGAAGGGGGCTTTTCGGTAGTTTCGCCGACGCATATATCTCAATTCGCAGGACACTCTATGGATTATTCCTAAGAGCACCCGGTGTGCGATCTCAAGTGCAGAAACAGGTTTCGGAGGCAATTACGAAGCTACAAGGGAAATTAGTACCGACAGGTCCGGGTGTGGTACGATATTTGACGCTGCCGAAGGAAGGATGGTCTGAGGAAACGGTTATGAAGGAGTTGGAGACGTTGGCCAATATGGATCATACCAGGTGGGAGGACGGATTCGTCTCGGGTGCCGTGTATCATGGAGGGGATTCGTTGATGAAGATACAGACGGAGGCGTTTGGAAAATTTACCGTTGCGAATCCTATTCATCCGGATGTGTTTCCGGGAGTGAGGAAGATGGAGGCGGAGATTGTGGCAATGGTTTTGTCGATATTTAATGCGCCGCCAGGAGCTGCGGGTGTTACAACTAGTGGAGGTACAGAGTCTATCTTGATGGCTTGCCTAAGTGCAAGGCAGAAGGCTTATGCCGAGAGAGGTGTCAGGGAGCCGGAAATGTTAGTGGATCCGCGGATATGCCATTTATATATCTATACTAATCATTATCTAGGATTCTGCCAGAAACAGCACACACAGCGTTCCGCAAAGCAGGTCAATATTTCGGTATCAAAATTCATCTCGTCGCTTGTCCCGCCCCATCTTATCAAGTCCATCTCCCAAGCGTGGCTCGTCTCATCAATAGCAACACCGTTCTTCTCGTTGGCTCTGCGCCGAACTTCCCTCATGGACTTATCGATGACATAACCGGTCTTTCCAAGCTCGCCGCCAAACGCAAGATTCCACTTCACGTCGATTGCTGCCTCGGATCATTTCTTGTTCCCTTCCTCGAGAAAGCCGGATTCGAAACCGAACTCTTTGATTTCCGTCTCAAGGGTGTAACGAGTATTAGTTGCGACACTCACAAATACGGATTCGCGCCCAAAGGTAACTCAACTGTTCTCTACCGTACCGCAGCCTTGAGAACCTACCAATACTTCATTTCTCCTGACTGGTCAGGCGGTGTTTATGCCTCTCCATCCATTGCCGGGTCTCGCCCTGGTGCGCTTATCGCTGGATGTTGGGCTTCACTCATGAGTGTTGGTGAGACCGGCTACATCAATGCATGTACCGAAATCGTGGGGGCTACCAAAAAAATCATCGATGCCATACACGAAAATCCCTCTCTTAATCACGATCTTTACGTCCTCGGCAAACCACTTGTTTCCGTAGTAGCTTTCACATCCAAGACACTTGACATCTACGACATCGCAGACGCCATGTCAGCAAAGGGGTGGCATCTAAATTCGTTACAGAGTCCCCCGGCTATACACGTAGCCGTTACATTACCGATCGTCAAGGTGTGGGAGAAATTGGTGGAAGATCTGATAGCGGTTGTGGAAGGGGAGAAGGAGAAGGAGAGAGTGAGGATTGTGGAAGGAAAGGGTGCTAAGGGGAAGAGCTTGGGGGATTCAGCCGCCTTGTATGGAGTGGCTGGTAGTTTACCCAATAAGAGTGTGGTGGTGGAGTTGGCTAGTGGTTTTTTGGATACTTTGTATAAAGCTTAGGGAATTGGTGTGGGAACTGGTAAGGAAATAAGGGAATCAGGGAGTAGAGGTTGAGGATGGGGTTAGGATAGGTGAGGGTGCATATCATTGTTATCATCTAGGCATTTGTAGATACGAGCAGAGCAGAGTAGAGTGGCATGTAAGCGAAATCTTCACTTACTTACTTACTATACTATGATATGGGTGGGCTCTTTGGGTGGGGATTAGAGATTGGAGATTGGAGATTTATATACCTTACATGCCCTGTTGTTTTTAATTATATCTATTAGCTTTACTTTACTTTACTTTGTTTTACATTGGTCTTGGTGTTCGATGATACTGTACATCTGCAGTTGCAGTTGCGAATATGTTGCGAATATGGAATTGTTGTGGGGATAATGGATGGGAGTGGGAATAATGGTGGGAGAAGAGAGATGTACGTGGTGATGATGTTAGGAGATTGGAGATGAGAGATGGGAGATGTATAAACATGGTTTATTGATATGGTGTGGTATATAAGGGTAGATTGAATATAAAGGAGCTGAGTAGATATATGTGTAATAACTTGAATATAGATTTGAATTTGAATAGCAGGTTTAGAATTGGAGGATTTCTATATTCGCACCGGTACCGTTGGGGATTTGTGCATGAGTGTTGTATACTCGTGGATTGATATTGAGAGTCCGAATATCTGGATTTCAATATCTTTAATGGAGTAGGTAGGCAGGTAGGTGTATAAATGAACTTGAGAATTAAGAATTTCTTTTATTATTGAATTGTAGTGTAGATGTAGTGCAGATATAGATAGAATAAATACTTGTATTGGAATGGAATGGAACGCTGGACTTTTCTTCTTTGGTCTTGGGACTGACTACTTTGATTTGCCTTTGTCTTTTACTACTGTAGAATATTGAATTCTTATTTGGGTAGTCAGTATCTAGTCAAGTTAACACGGGTGATGGATCTATGAGGTTTGTGTTATGTTGTTGTTGTTGTTGTTGGAGAATAAAATTCATAGATTCCTATTCATCTGTTCATGTAATCAATCTATCTTAATATTCAAAATTTCTTGAGATTTTTATGTAGGAATCAATTTGGATGGATAATTGGTAAGATTAGAAAGGAAAGTAAATGTACATATATAGAGTACTCATACAGTACACACACTTACTTGCGGTAAAAGAAAACCTTGATAAGGTTATCATATAGAACTTTTGCAGGAATAGTGATCGATGCTTAGATGAGAATGGGGGATGGGGATGGGGAAACAAAGGTACAATACGAAGACATAACATTTGACCTGGCTATCTGGTGAGTTGTGGAGAAATACTAGGTAGGTATGAAAAGGGAAAGGAGAAGTGTGATGATTTACCGAGAGTGATGAAATGAAGGAGAAAAATACGCGACATGGTACAGGATTGGGGAATATACAGATACAGATTTCGCATCGATATAGAAGATTTGGGATTAAGGTATATACATAACTCTTCTTCTCTACCTTAATGCCCTTATCTCGACCCGTTACAGCTGAATCCATCGTTCTCGGTCGCAAGTAGATACTCGAGTAGATACCGGGAAAATCAAAAACTGGACCAGTGTCCTATATAATCTTGAATCCCACACAAACCGTCACATACGACCATAGACTGAGGAGAATTGGGCATCCCGTCCGCTCTGCCATACACAAGCCTCAGATCGGTAGATTAGTAGTTGGGTGGGTGACCACCAGCGAATCCCTACTGTTGTATGTAGAATTATCTTTTTGCCGTTTTGAGGTTGAGGTTGGGTTTGGAGTCTGGACGAATGCAGTCAGTGAAGGAGAGGAGGGAATGCTAGGTAGATATTGTGGTGAGAAAGTTGAGGAAGGATGGGTTATGGGGTTGAAAGAGGATCACGCTGAGAGAAAAAGTACCTCGAGGGGTACTTTTGCTTCAAGCTTTGTAAGCTTGATTTTGTATGGGAGTGATTTGCCGGCGTAATCACAAAGTTTTCCCCTTGATAGGATTACAGATTTGTAAGTGCAACAGGAACAGTGATTTGGAAAGTGGATATCATTTTCGACGCTATTTTGATCCACAATCCAAATCAGATTCAGAGTGAGGTGGCAGGAGAACGGGTTCTAACATCTTATCCGAAAAGTATGAACGCTCTTAACGAAATCCCACTTACCTAGGTACTTATCTATGTTGGAGTCAACAGTTGGAGATTGTTGGACATTGTTGGTGGATACTTAGATGTAGCTGAAGGTGAAATGATACGTACGTACAACGCTATGTCAAAAATAAGAATGTCTGCAAAATATCAGCGGCGACAGTTGTGACAATACATACTCAATATTACCTAACATACTGCCACCGTCGCAGAACTCCAGTAGTAGTGCTATATCATGATTCGCAACGCGTCTCGCATCTGGAGGCAGCGGCTCTTCAAAGCTACCATATGCACATGTCTAATCCTATTTCTCGCGCACAAATTCCAGCTCCGTGAATTCTTGCTGGCACGACGGTACGACACCTGGCCCTGGGATCACAGCTGCTACAGGCTCTCCCCCTTCAGCAGCGCATGCACCGCATCACGTGCAAAACTTGCGCACGACGTGCAAATCGTTATCGAGACGAGCGGTTCCGAGCCAAAGGACAGACTGCAGTATCAGCTTGCGACGGTACTGTCTGGTATTCCGGCTGAAAATATTTTGATATTCTCGGATTTGGAGGAGGAGGTCGGGGGTTTTCGGATACGTGATGCGCTGGCGGATGTTTCGGTGCGGGAACGTAGGGAGTATCCGGAATTTTCGTTTTATGATGAGTTGCAGATGTATCGGCGGGAAGGGAGAGATACGCACGAACTGGAAGGAGGGCATAAGTTGGCAAGGTATAAGAATATGGCTATTAAGCGTATGATTTGGAAGATGTTGGGGGCCGAGAGGAGTGCGCTGCGGAGGCGGAAGTGGTATGTTTTTATTGATACGGATACTTTTATCGAATGGGATAATCTGCTTGCGTTGCTGGAACATTTAAACCCTATAAAAGATGTATATATGGGGAGTCCGGTTTGGGGCCCTACACCCCCGTTTGCGCACGGTGGGAGCGGTTATGTATTCTCGTACAAGGCCTTGGAGACACTTAATATGCCTGGCCGGGGTGGCGACGAAGAGTTAATGTATAGCCAGTATGGCGTAGACACGACCGCGCTGTGCTGTGGTGATGAGGCTTTGTCGGTGGCGCTGAAGCGGAAAGGCATCGAAATCAAAGGGTATTGGCCTTTGTTTAACGGAGATCCACCAGTGACGATATATTTTGGGCCCGAGATGTGGTGTGAGCCGGTAATTACCTTGCACCACGTCACTGGGACAGACATGAAAGATCTATGGCGATGGGTCGAGAACTGGAAATCCAGAACAATGAGTATGGTATGGTATCAATTTATATTCGAGCCCCTTTGCATCTTGTCTCCTGATCCTCTGCGTTCAACATCAATACCGTGCTAAGTATACTTATCATATAGCAACCCTTCCTATTTAGAGATTTGTTTGAGTACGTCGCTTCGCAACTAGTTCACAGAATGAATGATTGGGACAATACAGACGACGGGTGGAAAATATTTCACCATGTTAAGGATACCAAGAAAGGCGCTTTGGCATCCTTTGAGCAGTGTGAAGCAGCCTGTGAAGCGGACAACCTGTGCTTTCAATTTGTCGTCAATGGAACCACATGCGCTCTATCACACAACATCCGGGTTGGCAGGAAGCGCGTGCCGGATACAGAAGGAGCGCACCGGTATATCTCAGGATGGAATTTGCAAAGAATTCAGGACTGGACGACGAAGACGAAGTGCACGAGCGCGCATTGGGTGCATTCAAATCCGTGAGTAGGGGGTATTGGTATCGAGCTGGTTGCTATTCGCTTTATAGAAATGTAGCGTTGAGATCGATGTACAAGTAATGGACTCTGAGAATGTCATCGCACAGCACAGCGTCTGTAAAGCAGCAAGAGCCTAAGCTCGTTACATTTATGGCGGCCTGAGGATAACTGGTTAAGCGAGTGGAATACTAAAAACAGAGTATAAATTACTAATATCTTATTAGATAGAGTATGAATCCTAATCAAATCTCTCAAACCCATGGCTTTAATCAATTCGAGAACCGCAATGTTGCCTCGACCCCAATCTCAATCCGAATCCCAATTTCAAGTAGGTACTTAAAAATTTAAAAATTTCATCCCATCTCCATCCCGTCCCATCCCGTCCCATCCATCCATCTCCATTTGTATCCGTATCCGTATCATCACCCGAACATCATTCCCCATCCATGGCCAACCCCAACCTAAGTTCTACTTGTAATTAGTGATCAGCATTCTACTTTAGACATTTAGACTTTAGACTTTCGGCATCCATCGGACATCGATATATATATACATACCATACTAGGTACTCGAGTAGGTATATCCAACTTTCCAAATATACCACCCAAGTTCTCAATCTTTCCAATACTACTACTACATACAGTACACTTATACTTTGTTGAAACTTTATAATAAACTTTTATGATTGAGTAATGGGACGGGCCTAGCGGCGGAAACTACTTTGGATACCGGCACCGGCATAGCACCAGCACTGGAACCAGCTAGATAGGCTAGGCTAGGCTAGATGATTCCGTGATATATCGGTACTCGAGTACGAGTATTATATTCCTATAACTTTATGAAGATTTAAAAAGAGAAAATAAAACATTGAAATGAAATGAAATGATGAACAAATATGAATATGATGAAATCGAAATTCAAGCCTTCAAGATAAGTTATTCCAATCAAGTTGATCCAAGAACTAATCTCATCACAAACCCATCACAAACATTCTCATTCCCAATCCTAATACTAAGTATAGAATGGAAACCCCCCTCTCCGGTGCAAAAACAAACTCGAAACCACCATTGAAATGATACTGATTGGTATAGTAATTATAGTACAAACGAAAAACATTAAACCCTATTGATTCCCATTTCCCAATTCCACAATTTTCAAACACAGGTCCAGTCAGTCCAGCATGTACGAAGTACATACAATATTACAATATACAATACCCAAAACCAAAAACCAAAAACCAAGCCCTTCCCCTCACATCCCGTTTCCATCCATCCATCCATCCGTCCATCCATCCGTCCATCCATCCATCCGTCCGATGATTCCGTTCCTGACCGACCCTATCCCATTTATTATTTTATTCTATTGTTCGTTCTCGACTCTCGACTCTCGACTCTCGACTCTCTACTCTCTACTCGGTGAGAGAAGACAGATTCATCATTCCTAGCAGCAGCATGATGTAATCAAATCAACGCCCACCTAGTACCTACGAGTATTAATTATCAAGCCAACACACCCATCCATCACCTTATCCACCTCATCCACCCATCCACCCATCCACCCATCCACACAAACATCAACAAAAAAATCCCAAGACTACGAGTACCTCCTACCTAGGTAAGCACCACTGTATTCCATATACGGTATGTGATCAATTCGGGCGATACTTCTGTATGCATGCAACACTACATACACTACCTAGTAGCTATTCACGATTCTTGCTAATTTTCTGGTTCGATGACTCTGTCTGTCTGTCCGTCAAATCAAATCAGTCAAATCAGTGAAATCAAACCAGTCTCACAAAAAAACATGATTTAAATATCCATATATTCATATTCATATCCATATCCATACACGTACTCATATATCAATGACTATGAAATGAATTTCACATCACATAACCAAATCACATTATACCAAAACGAACCAAAAACGAATCAAAAGGAGTCAAAGGAAAAAAAGAGCCTTGTCCTGTCTTGTCCTGTCTTATCACACCATATTTGATTTGGTATACACTGCATCTACACCTCTACACCTCTACTCCTCTACTCCATGATTCCATCTTCTTCCCTTTTTTCTTTGCTCTCACCCTCACGCCTACCCTCAACCTCAATCTCAATCTCAACCTCAACATGGACAATGCCACCGTCTAAATCCAAGCCTCCCGTCCTCCCTCCTCCCTCCTCCCTCCTCCCTCCTATACTCATGATCCAGAAAATCCATCACCTCCCTTCCCTTCCCCTTCCCTCCACCAAAATCTCCACACATCACATCACATCACAACACATTACTCCTCCATCTATCCCCACTCACACATCTACCTCTACCTCTACCATCATCATCATCATCATCATCCTCTCTTCCTTCCATGAAAATAACATTCCGACAGCAACACCACTCCCCTCCCCATACCGACCAGCAGCAAATTCAATCAACCGAAGAACAGATCACCTCGCTAGCCAACAAAGCAGAGCAAGGCAAAGCATAGCATAGAATAGCAAAGGTTCTCCCTCTCCCCCTCACTCTCGCTCTCCTTCCCTTCCCTACCCTACCTTCATCCATCCACACACCCCACCCCACCCCTCCCCACCTCATATCCAGGTCCTAAATCTTAGATCCCAGGTCCTAGCAGCAAGCAAGCAAGCAAGCAAGCTATACTTCCCCAAACCCCCTCCCCCCCCATAATTTCCTCCCCCAAGAAATCCCTTCTTCTTCTTCCCCTTACAGCAAAGAAAACCCACCCACGCACCCTATAAATCCCGATCCCAGATAGCCAGCCTATCTCTATCCCTATCCCTATCCCTCGCCCGAACCAGAACCAGAATATATACGACAAAGAGAAGAAAAAATCAAGCCCAAGCCAACCCGAACAAGGTGAAAAGAAATATATATAAATATAAATAAATATAAAATAATTAAGTACAAGTTTACCAGCTACCCCTCCACCCCTCCAGCAATATGCATGCAAGTCCTGAACCCCTCCCTCCTTCCCTCCTCTACCCGCCAGAGCCACAAAATTCCAGATAGACAGATCCCTTAGTTTTCCCCATATCCCATTGCCCTTAGATTTTTTTTGATTTTTTTGGTGAAAGCTAACCTAAGCTAACCTTGGAGACCATATACGTATGAGTTGTACATGTACAGTATTTGTGCGGCAGCGGATGCTCGAAATAAAACAAACCAACAGATTCACCTCCTCCAATTAGGGGTTGCCACGTGGCTCGTCTGAAATTCGCCAATGGCTCTTGAAAAATAGGAAAATAACGTGTATATAATATTTGGTCCTGGCATTCAAAGTGAATTTGCTAACAGGCCACATCAATATAGAAATTTGATGACAAATGAAATTTTGTTCGCGCGCAGCGAAGCAGTTTTTTTCCATTGAATCTTCTCGGAAAACAAAATTTAGTGCAGTCTATAAAGGGGTATTTAAAAGACGAGAAAAATAATGAACACCAGAAAGCGCTTCTATAGGCGCTACTATGCTCGGGGGTATGAAGCTGGAAAATAAAAATCAAAAAGGTTTCGATATCAACATTAAACGCCGCAGATGAACTCGCTAGACCCAGCTGTACTGGTGTATGGTAAACTGATGTCACAAATAACGTTTGAACAAGACTGACCCCACCATATCTCCCAAACACCATGCAATGTAGATGACCCGAAACTTTTCCTCCAAGTATTTTACAAATTGACGATAGAGGATCGTCTAGAATCGATTTTGTGCTGCGAATATACTAGCAGCCGCAGATGCCGCCCACTCATTCTCCTCATAGTCGGATGGTGGTGTCGAAGATTGCTTATTAGATCCATGGGGTTTTGGAGTTGGCGAAATATTGGTTATCACTTGACCAAAGAGTATCGAATTGCCATTAGCAGATGGAGAGGGTGTAGGATATGGATTTAACCCAGTATTACTGTGTGATTGTCTTAACGGTTTTCGATGATCGGTCTGGACTGAATTTCCGCGTCTCATGGGCTTCTTCGTTGATGTCAGAGCTTCATCAAGCAATTCGTCCTCCTCATCAGGAGTCTCATATTGCTGAACACCTGGTATTTGGCTCCTCCTGTTCCTAGTGGGGTTGGGTGCAACAGATCTTGGAATATCGGCGGTTGAGCGCGGTGGCTGTTGATAAGGAACGGAGTGATGTCTCTTTAGAACACTGCTTGGGTTAATTTGATGGCTCGGTGGTATAGGCGGGGAATTTGTACTCTGAGGGGAGTCCAAATTTTGCTGAACGGTACGCAACGCCTTATCCAATGCTTCGTGCGAATCAACTTTTGGCGGAGCAGGGCTAGAAGGCTGAGCACCATCCAATACCATCGATGATCTGTTGCTCGACCAAGGTCCACATCCAGCTTGTGATTCAAGGTCCATTGATTTTGGTGACATGGGAGTTTGAGATTGTCGACCAGAGAATCTTCTTGCACGCTTCCTTAGGTGGGAGAAGAAGCTTTCTTTGTGGCCACTTGGAGGAGATACTAAACCAGAATTTCCATTTAATGCCATCTCCGCTTGTTGTCGATGAATTTCCGCATAATGATTCGTACTCGAGGCAACTGATAATTGTCGACCAATTTTCTTTGAGCCCTTATCAATTTGTCCAGGATAGAGATCATTGTATGATGGCGTTCTGCTGCTTGCTTGTGCTGTTGCAGTGTCAGAAATTGGGGAAATGGGCTTAATTGTCGGCAAGATCGGCATTGGCGCTGCGTTAGTAGCCCCGTTAGCCCATGTTGACCGCTTAGCAGCAGGCTGACGTGTCTTAACTACAGGAATCTCACTAATTGTAGCTGCAAGTACTGGTGAAGGTTTGGATGCCACGTTTTCTTTCTCCTTAGGTTGAACAACAGCGGTGCTGGGATTATCATTTCTGCCGATCAAAGACTTTCTGAACCAGGAAGGTTTTGTTGTTGCTGAAGAAGTTGGAGTTGTCTCCGAGAAGTCCTTTGAGCTACGATAGCTTAGGTCAGAAGGTTTGCGACCGAGTATCCTCGATGAAGACTTAGGCCGTAATGGATCCACAGCATCAGTAAAGAACTCGTGAGCCATCGCCTGAGTTGATGTTGGTCGACTCTTAGGGTCCCACATTAAACACCACGTGACGAATTTTGCCAATGATGCTGGCCACTGCGGCGTTTGAAGAATCGTGTCCATGGAATGTGGCGCCATTTTGGGGAATGAGAATCCAAGTTTGCCGGCCAATCTCGTGCCTTCTCTCCAATCACCTCCTCCAACTCTCTCGCCGGCCTTGTTGTACCAGTTCCCTGGGCTACCCATGATTTCACACACCCTCCAAACCTGATCGACTTCATTTCCTCCAGGGAATAAAGGTTTCAAAGTTGCAATTTCCACTGCCATAGCACCAATTGCCCAAATATCCACCGGGGCCGAGTACTCTCCTGCTCTGAGTAGTACTTCTGGGGCTCTGTACCATCGAGTCGATACGTAGGTTGTGTAGGGTAACTTTGAATGTGTCTCTCGTGCAAGACCAAAGTCGGCGATCTTGACGGTGTAAGCTGGTGGTGTAGAAGGAGGGGTGACCATGGCGGAGTACCGTCGGAAGGAGTTTCCTGAATCTTGTGCCGATGTGGAAACGAGGATGTTTTCTGGTTTTATATCGCGATGGAAGAAATGATGAGCGTGAATATGCTCAAGTCCTTGCATGATCTGGAACAGGATACTCTTGACACTTGAAACATCGAGGCACTTGTGATCACGAGCCTTCATCAATTGATATAAGTTGCCATCCATGTATTCCATGGCAATGTGCAACTTTTTGGTGAAAGGGTCGAGGAATATATCCAATGCTGGTACGAGGTGTTGATGAGGTGGTAGCGTTTTTAAGAATACGACTTCTCGTAGTTCTAGACATGGTTGAAATGATTCAAAGGTCTTCTTCATCGTCTTGATAGCAATCTACAATTATTTCGTCAGCTCTGACAATTTCCCAACTAGCCTTGCCTAAACTTACAATTGTTCCGCGTCGAGCTACACTGGCTCCTGCCCCGCGCACTCGTGCTAGAACGACACTACCAAAGCTACCATCTCCAATATCCTTCAAAATTTCGAATCTGTCTTCCAACGCCTGTCCTGCTGAAGCTTGAGGTGTCGAAGACCCTCGGTGGGTTAAATCGTACGCGACTGTCATGTTTATAGATTGAGGTGAGGTTTGAATTGTAGGAAAGTATATATGTGCTAAATAATAAATGTTCGTGTTAGATGACCGAAAAGTGAATGCTGAATAAAATTGACTGTGTTAGCAATCTTTCATAGCACATGTGAAGATCGAACGTTGGCCGCAGTGAATATCAGGAGATTTCTCTTACCAATGCTGCCGGGTATCTAGCTCTTCGAGAGCTTCCTTAAGTTTACCAGAGCATTCATGTAACGTAGATGTCGATTGTGGTAGGTAGCGATCGAGGTGATAATGATATGGTTTGGATGTCCTCCGTGAGATTGCAAATGAGTGAAGCAGCGAATTGGATCAAGAAGATGATCAGGTAGAGAGATGTAATGGGATGTCTGGGAAAGGGTCCAAGGGTGGTAAAGGAGCCGTTACCAAGAATCGGGAGTGCGGGTCTTGACCCGCTAGAGCAAGAAGCCTTTCGACGATCAAGAAGAAGGGACGGACGACTCGTGACGTTTTTGGTTAGTGTTTTAATGATAGGAGAAGCTGGAATAGATCAAGGATTCAAGGGCCCTTCGTAGCTTCTTGATGGCGACGTGGGGGAAGTCGATGGTTTACTTGTCGTAGGTGGATATAATCGCAAGCGCATGAGAGTCAGTCAAAAGGAAAGCATGGGTTGCATGAACTTTGAATTTTGTCGAAACAACCAGGCCTTGAACCGTGGAAAGCCCTCAAGCTCGCACTTTCTCTAGTATGGGTTTTTATTAAGTTCCGCAAATCCTTCCAGAAGACAATCTTCGGGGCATGAACAGCTCGGGGATGATGGTAATAACCAATTTCGCTAAAATCCACTTTGACATCGAATCTTTTAGTAGTTTCTTCAGGGGTATAGATAATTATGTAGCATTATTTGAATGTATCGGTATAATTATTAAGGAGGAGATCGAAGGAAGAAGAGTGTGGAAAATATGAAAAGGTTGTATTAGATTTGTGGTACAAAGTAGCGGATATTAGATTTTCTCTCTTTCCTGGGCGATGCGGGTGCTGATTATGCTGGATGATATTTCCTTGAGGTATTGTGATATGCGTGTGCACTGTGTGGGCACTGGGAACTGATACTGCGAGTTATATGCGAGGTTGTGGGACTTGTCTCGAACAACACGCCGTTTAGCTGAATAGGAAAGACTGGATTGAATCCCTGGAAGACTGTGGAAGTATCGGCTAATAAGTATCGATTGCTTCTTGTGATGCCAACACAGCGACCGAGTAAAGACTTCGATTATGCTGATTCGATGGGGGACGCGAATAATTCAATGGCCGGGGAAGTTTGAGAGAGCAACAGACAAGTATTATTGTTGAAAAGAAAATGAATGAAGAGAGAGGGGCATTAAAGGCGGGGCTTATTCCAATCAAATGAGGTTGGTTAGGTATATTGAGGGAAGAAAAATAAAGGGTCTTGAATCAGAATAAGTGGGTTGAAAATGGATTGGATTGTGTTTATTAGAGTTTTGTGTTTTGTGTTTTTATGTTTTTTGTGTTTTGTTGAAGCCAGCAGATATGCATAAAAAGATAAAAAAGGGAAGAAATAATCCTCAATTGTGCGAGCTGATGATTGTAATAATGAGTGTGTACAAGGAGGAGATCTTCTCTTCTTAATCGATCTTATCATATCGTAGTAAATAGGTAGGTAGATAGATACGGTATAAAAGAATATAAGGCTGCGATACAAATTCGGGGCTTTGGGGAGGGAGGGGTGACAACTGGGAAAGGAAAGCTGTGGATGAAGTTGTGATGAAGGTTTTTGAAAATTTCAAGGGTGGCTAGGTGGCTAGGTGTAGGTGGTGGTAGGTAGGGTAGTAGGTGGCTAGCTAATCAGCTAATCAGAAGCGGTTTGGTGTGGGTGTCAAGGACTCAAGTCAAGCTATGAAATTGCCTCTAAAACCACCAATACCAATGATACCACCATACCACCATAATACTGTACTTGTAGTAAAATGTGCAACAATTGAAGCCATTCAGAATCAAGCCAGTTTATATCACAAGACCAGTTAGTTGTGAGATCAACCAAAACCAACCAAACCACCTGGGGATCCCCATCCCCATCCCGTCAGTCATAGTTTATTGATTGATTGGATTTCCATTCTCATGTTTCCCTCAATCTCGAAATGGTCAATGCATACGAAGTACAGTAACTACCGTGCTGCTGGCTAACGACTGGCTAACCCTATTTAAATTGAACCCTATTCCCTATTCAAGATACTGCGGAAAATATGCATAGACGAAAGGCGAAGTGCGGGCAGATAGCGATCGATAGTTTATTCAATCGTAATTCATACAGACAGGTGCTTGACTCGACTGATAAAGCCTGGCCCGCATATCATAATCGAATATTCATATATTGTGTTTTATCTTATTTCTTTATTCATCCATTTGTTAGACTTTATACTGCAACCTCTTTGTGCCAACTTCAAAATGGTACAATAATTTAGGGTAGGTAGGTAATTTTTACCTGCCCCTTAATTATTAGCGGATTCGATTCGATATCCGATCAAACTTTATTTTTATTACTATCCATTTGATATTCTTGAAATACATTCAAAAGAAAAATAAAGGCACAGCCTCGAGGCTGTGATAATCAATAGTACTATACCGATACCAGACGTATTCAAGCATATGTCAAGATATCAAGAATAACAAGTAGTCTTTCGAGAATAGAATTTGGTACTGTAAAAGGGGTTGGAAAAAAAAGAAAATCGGAAGATGGATATTACTATAATGTAATGCCTGTTCTGTTCATTCTATTAGTGAACGGATGCGTTTAGATATAGATTATTACTATAAATCTGATTTCTTTTCAAAAGTCTCATACCGCTATTATTGGCTATAGGCTTATGGCCTGTGGCCTTACTAAAAAGAAAGTTAATGAAAGACAGGATGGATCTATAGTAATGTTTTATAATCACATAATATTGCTTCTCTCGAGATAACGGAAGGGGTTCGTGAGGGAGAAATATGAAGAGGGTAAAAATATCATATACAATTATTTTGATTTACCTATTTGCAGTTCTCTCTATGTTGTATTTCAAAGCCTTCCATATTTCCATCCCAATAATAACCATCCGTAATACACACCCACGGCGCCCCTTTTTTTTCCTTTTTACCATCCATTTGATTAAAATTCCGATGCTTTTCCTTCTTCACACCCTGACCGTTGACAGCCATTTGTGTCTTGGTCATCACGTTTAGCGTGGATTATCCTTGCCTTATTCCTATGGGCATGGTTCGGGTAGCATTCCCCACTAAACGTGGTCGTTCTGAGTTTTGCCAATTTAGCTCTCCCGGCTTCCGCTGTCGACGGTTCTGGAAAAAGAAAGCTATTGAAGGGCCGGCGCGCTTTTGGGCTGGAAAAATGATTAAGGAGGTTGGGGGTTGTCTGGGAAGAGGGTTTGATTGATGTGTGAAAGTTGTAGAAGTTCTATATTCATCGTCATATTGGGAGATTTTGGTCCCTCAATAATGACCCTGTTATCATACTCTAATCAAAGCCTGTTGGAGATGATACAGTTGATTCTGTAGTTGTGTCCTGCATGATTGAAATGTTGGCGTCCAGACTTCTTTTTGAACGGTTTCAACGTAATCAGAGCTAAAAATGAATCATGTCAGATGAATGATGTGATCCTTGATAGAGAAAAACAAAAAGAGCATATCAAAAGTTATTACAGCTATATTATAAAAGCATTCTTAATAATGGTTCAGTTTCTTTTTCCTCTGTCAAAGATCCTGTTTGACACGTTTCACCCTCTGTCCAGAATCCACACTATCGGGTTTGATTCGAGACTGGAAGAATAAGGAAATCTAACGGTTTCTTGCATATGCGAGCTGAAGCGGTGAGGATTGGATTGAAAATCTGGGGGAGACATTCTGCAGGATCTTTACTGAAAAATTACGGCACTCAATGAAAGCTGACTTATCAATCGGTCTCACTCGGCATTATGCAAACTGAAATAATCTGGCCGAATGAATGAGAGTTTGTGCGACATGAACAGACAGCCAGCACTAGGACCAGTTGAGTATTTCGAGCTTCCAAAGATCTGTCACGCTCTACACTCGCGAGGAATTATCCGCTTAAGTATAACAAGGACGTTACCCCTGATTGTAAAGATGAATGAATCCCGATGCCTTTTCGAGAGCCTTTCTACACCGAACGAATGGCCGGGCATGGCTTGACAGTACAGTTAAGTCAACACTTGAACGAGTTTGATGCATAGGAAGTCTTTGTTCTTTCGCTGTAGGTGTTGACTGCGTCTGTCAATCTGCAACACGGAACCAAGAATGAACTGCTGGTAGCGATGTTTGGCAATCAAGTGAACTTGTAAGACCACCTCATAGCATCTTTTCCACAGCGGAAAAGGTGGTCCAGACCACTGTTCTTTCTTCTATAGAATCGAATCAATAAACTTTTCCGTATAACATTCTTATCTTTGATATCATTATTAGAAACTTATCATATTTCCTCCTCTTATCTTCTATTCTCAGTTGTACTTGGACTGTTTTTGGAGTCAAATTGAAAACGAGTACAGGCATTGAACTGTCAGTTCCGATCTACCTCTTTGCCAATGGAGGGTCATGATGCAATCGGATTTCATTCCATTTCAAGATTCACAGGTCTGGTGATAAGTCATCGTAATATATCACCAGTGGGAAATCAAGAAATCAAAAAATCAAAAAATAAAAGCAAAACATATAAGACCCAGGTAAGCACTACGAGTACAAACAGCCGAAGGGGAAACATCAGCAGAAAAAGAAGGCATGATATGATAGAGCGCATACATAACCTAGCGCTGCAGAATAAAGCATTTTGGCAGCAAGATCTTGATGATAATAAACCTCAAAGTTAGATTTCATGTAGATTCCCGCTAGTGTATAAATTTGGTTTCTTACTAGATGCTAAACAAAGATATAAGTAGATATGGGATGAGAGTACAGTACAGGTCAGATGAGTTTTCATTCAATTTCAAGAAGGAAAACGCGATAACTTTCTATAAGAGTCTCCTACCTACTTTCATCTTTATCTTTAAATTCATTCAGGAGAAGATTTGAGGGAGGGGTCACCGATCTTCGTTCCTTCCCAATCCCCCTCTTTTCACTCACCACTTTCCCCTCTTTCCATATTCACTCTTGAAAACTGGATAGATTGGATGCCTACAGGTTAATTGGTTATACTGGTTACAAAAGAGTTCTCATCGTCTCCCACTCCCAACTCTTCTTCCAAAAACAACTCCATTCCATCAACCACCGGATTTGTTGGTCTTCTACTACTTCTTTCATGGTAACAATACAACATCAATCGAAATCAATCTTCGACGCCTTAATCGAGCCTCGATATTCTGCAGATTAAAGACTCAACTGAAAATTCCCAAGCTTTATCGATCCGCACTCGATTTTTTCGAATCGATCTTCAGTTCGGCATCACTTCGAGAGTGACGTGTTACAGTCATATCAACAACCTTCCCTCGACAGTAAGTGGGCGATTGTACTCGAATTTCATTTCTCTCCTCATACACAACTCGAATTTTGAGTTTCTCCATCTTCTTTCTTTCATGTACCATTTGGCTCTTCACAAGCAGATTGTTTTGCTGGCAAGCCGATCTGTAGCTTACCTTACCTCACACTTCACTTGCTTTCTGAAAGTGAAACAGAAAGTGAACTCAATCCACGATTTTTAAACTCCAGACCCAGACGCTAACACTTTCTTCTCAATAACAGTAGCAACTAGGCGCTGTCGAATTCAACCTCATATTCAACCCTGTTCCCCCAGATTCAATAGCATTCCTGCAAGTTTTTCGCCGGTATTTTTAAAATGGCTTTCAGAAACAACCGTTATGCTCCTGCAACCGAGTATGTTCTTCAATGAAAGTTATTGAGTCTTGGGGCTAATGAGTGTTCGTAGTCGTAAGGGCGTCGTGATTCCTATTGAGTAAGTCACACGTCGGTCATGAATTCGTTCTGCTTGTATCCAACAAATCAGCTTTCCCACTGCTCAAATAATAGCCATGTAATCAAAGCCACCTATCGGAACGTTATTGATGATATTGTTTACAGCTTTAAATTCAAATGTCGCCACTGCAGCATTTTTAAGACGCAAGATTGCTTCTCAAAGAACGAGATTGCTCCCTACAAGAATCAGCTTGCCCAAAATCCGTCTATGAAGCCGAATGCGGTAGCTGCCCTTCTGAGATGCCGCGGCTGCAAGGGTGAACAAGTGCAAGAGCTTCAGTGCGAAGGTCCATGTGGCAACGTCAAGGTATTGGATCTCTTCAGCAAGGCTCAGAGATCCAGAGGAAATAAGGTATGGACTACACTTTTATGAGCAGCATAACATGTCTTTCATATAGACCTTGACTAACGTATGATCGGTAGTGGTGTATGGAATGTGTCCATTGGAAGGAGGCTTACCATCCTGAAGTCGATCTTGCTCCTGCTCCAGGAAGTGAGTTAGGCCGGGAAGTCACGACAAATGTTGCACCAGAAGAAACCACAGGCTCTTCTTATGCTGCCAGTGTGATTGCGGTGAGTATCCTTTCATTGTCCCAGACTATTTCGTACATTCAAAAGTCTACTTTGAAGTCGTGACACGACATGTACGGCGTGCTGACAGTTCTTCATAGTTGTCCCAAAAGACAGCATCCCTTGCCATCGGTAGTGCTTCCAATAGTCGAAACGAAAACTACTCACAATCCTCCATGAGTAATCCTTTTGAGGGCGCTCGTAGTGTGGACACGCCGGTCGATTCCGTCGTTTGGACAACTCAAGACTCGAGGAGAATTCGCCGCGTCGGTAATCCTATACAGTATAATGCATATGACGCCAATGGAGTGCGTCACACTCAAAAGAAGACAATGACTTCAACTTCCATAGCAACATCAACTATTGGTGAATCGAGCTCTTCTTCGGTTACCTGTGCCTCTCCTGCTCCTGTTGCCGCCGCCTCTCGCCTTATCGCCACTGGCAATCGTCCAGCCGCTCCCGCTTCTCCCCCTGCTGCACCAGCTGCCGCTCCTCAACCCGTTCGCGTGATCACCAATCAGAATACCGGATGGGCTAAACCCGTAAGTCCCTTTACTTGAATGAAGTTCTCTCTTCTAGCTCTGTCGCTCATAGTTGTGATTTTATCAACCGTACTAATTTACTTAATACTTCCAGATTGGTACTCGTACCAGACAACCGGCAGCCCACGAAACCATTACGGAGTGGGCCCCCGAGTCTAATACCCCCCACCGCAGATCGACCTACGACTCCAGCGATGATGAGATGTAAACAATTGTTGGAAAGTTCAGGACCTAAACCGTTCTCTTGGTTGCTCCCCCGGGCAACATGGTTCTTTGTGGATCATGGAATCGTTACAAGGACCTGATTGGTCAAAATTTCTTACTGGAGATGAGAAATATTTTGCGTTGAAGCTCCATTATTGAGACAGAGATGACGACGATGACTTTCATTTTTTAAAAAATTACGGCTTTTCTTTTCTTTCTTTCTAACACTATTGATGTTCGCGTCGAGATCAAGTTTTCATACATAGCATATGGTCTCCTAACTTTCGCGTTGACGGAAATAATAGCTGGTAGTACGGTGTATGATGGTGCAAGACAAATGGGCTTGATCTTGATGCATGAAAGTAGATAGTCAATAGATGCGGTTCATCTTGAGAAGTGGTATATTTGGTGATGTACCATACTTGATTGTGCTACACCATGTTTCATTCTCCGCTGTGAATCCTATCAGAAAACGTCAGTCTAGCAGAGAGATCTCTTGAAGGTTCCAAGTTCTCATGGAAGGAAAATTAATCCCCAATTGTTCGTTTAAGAGCTTGGGAGCTCTTGTGATATACGAGTACTGTACTCGGTGGTATCTAACATATATATGTGTTGTATAAAGTACACCAATCAATCAATAGCAAGTATAGTGTTTGATCTCTCACTGTACGCTGCGGGATAGCACAGTACGGTGACAATAAAAGACTCTTTTTGGGTTAGAGGTTTTGAGAGAGAGAGACGGGGGGAGGGGGTGATGGGCGGTGAGAGGTGAGGGACTTGTGGAGACGGGGTGGGAATGGGGAGATGTGAGGTGTGAGGTGTGAGGTGTGAGGTGTGGATGGGGGTGAGGGTGAGGGTGAGGGTGAGGGTGAGAGATGAGGGTTTTGGGATTGGGATTGGTGTTGGAAGTGAAAGTGATAACATGAGCGAGAGCGAGAAATGAAAGCTGGAAGGCTATGCTCATAGTTGTGGTTGTGATTGTGTAGTGTAGTGATTAAAGAGAGATATCTCGTCTTGGGATGTATGTATGATAATGATGTAATGTAATGTATTATTGGTGTTTAGGATAGGAATTAGAATGATATACTCGAGTACATGTGAATTATAAAATAAGATTACATGATATAACTTGAATAACACATGGATTCAAGATCATGATAGAAGTTAATTATACTGTATATGAAAGCCAAATTAAGATTTTACAATTTTTGTTGCGAAAAGGAAGGTGTATAATAAATAAGCCACACTTTAATTGATGTGATGGATGGACCAGAGATCCTGACCTTGGGCTTAGGTTTACCTAGGGGTTTAGGTTGAGGTTGGTAGGAAGGAAAGAAGGAAGGAAGGAAGGAAGGAGGCTTGGAGCGTTTATCCCACGCTGCAAGTCATTAATCATCTGTACGACGTTGACTGACCTAGTTGAAATAGAAGTTGAAGTCGCTCCACATGGAAAAAGAGGCGGTGATGTGATTGTGTGGAAGGAGGGAGGGAAGGAGGGTAGGATGGGCTACTGAAATAAAACATTTGGTGTTTACTCGAGTAAAGAATAGGTAGGGTATGTATGTATGAGGCTACGCCCTGTTGCGGGGGTTTTTTTTTGGTGGATGTGTGGGGGGAGATCAAATGTTAAGTTGGTTATATGTGTTGTAGTTGTTAGTTGGGTGCTCGGCGGTGGTGATACGATACGAAGGAAGGCTGGGCTGGACTGGGATGAGATGCGATGAGAATGAGAATGGGATGGATGGATGGATGTCCTTCGTATGCTTATAGACGAAGTTGGATATGATGCAAGTCGAATAATTAGGTATGATTTCTGAAGATTGAATAGATGAAAAGAAAGTTATTTGAATTCTTGTGGTAGTAGGTAGTAGGTGGCGTAGCCCCTGTTGTACTCGTTTATTATGCTCGATAGATTGATTGTTAGTGATGATATGATATACAGTAACCCTTACTGTGAATTATGAGATGGATTAATTATCGGAATAGTAGATAGTAGTTGGCTGTCAGTAATGCGTACAGTAGTTGACTTGAATTATAAAGGAACCTTTGATCATGAAGGATTTAGATTTGGCTTAAACAGCAGCTTAGACTGAAGGAGGGCGGGATGAGTTGGTGTTGGTAGCTTGGCTTGGTGTTGGAACGATCTTGGAAACCCTTTCCATTCAACTACTGGGAACGCGAGGTTTAAGAAACGGATCGTGTCATGTTAATTTATATCGGCGGGGTTGTGTAGTTTTATATTTGTAGCGAATTAAAAGGATTTTGAGGAATGATCATGATTTATTTCATTGCAGAAATTCTTTGGTGGGGTTTCTTATCTGTGTTATTGATGATATGCGTCGTAAGGATATACGGAAATGTGCGGAAATTTACTCGAGTACAAGGAAATCTATAACTCGAGTAATAATAATTAACGACTTGCCCAGGTCTGCTGATGGGTGAATTTCATGGTGGGTGAGTTGACAATGATTTGATGGAAGCAGTCAACATTGACAGTCAACGATCAACAGTCAACAGTCAACAATCAACAGTCAACAGTCAACAGTCAACAGTCAACAGTCAACAGTCAACAGTCAATATTTTGAGGAGTACTTTTCCGTATTGCATTGCTGTTGCCCGTTGCCCGATATATATATATATTAGGTATCTACTACTCTGACGCCAATAAGCCAATGAAGCCATAGAACAGGGTTTAATTATCTGATTCTTGTTTCTTTACTTCTTTTTCTGCACCGAGTAGCGATGCGATAGCTGGGATTAGGTTAACCGGAAACTTTGGACGACACAACATAAACTCTTTTTACTCTTCGAGATAATTCTCAATTTTTCCAATAAGGCGTTTTGACATTCTGAAACTTTTAACATCCCACCACATACGACAATAACCTCAAGGCTTTCAAGTTCAACAACATATCACCTAATAAATTCGAAGCATTTCCGAATCGAAGCATACGAGCAAACTATAAGAATAAGAACAAGATTCAAAGAACGAGATACGTCAAATCGAACTCTTGTACCTTAAACCTTTATGAGGTAACAAACGCCAAATCACATAGCCTCGCCTTTGAAGATGGCCCATTTTGACGCTTATGGTCGTCCAATGCGAGGCGATGGAGGGCCGAAGTACGAGTATGAGACCTATGATACCTACGGCTTCAACGATTCCAACAGGCATATGCCTACCTATTCAAACCCCTCAACCTCGACTAGATATTCTACGGATTCTCGAAATATACCTTATGCTTCCCAAAGTCTTTCAAGTGTACCGCCACAATCACTACAACAGACCTACCCATCAAATAACAATATGGTATCGGCATATGGTTCTGATCGTGGCACCGCTGTAGATCACGATGCAGTATCGCCCGAGATAATCGCAGCAATCACGGAAAAGGTTAAAAGAGAACGTAAGTATATGTTGTGCATCTCCTTACGGCATGTTTGTCATTTTTTGTTGTTGAGCCTCACCGATTGCCCATGCTTACTGAAACCTATTCACTCAGTCTTCGAACACCTTAAGCAAACAGGGACCATTGATGACCAACCGCGAGCCTCATATATGCAACGCGAACAGTCAGAGAAATCTAGTTCTACAAATCAATCACCTCCCCCTTCAGATAACCGCAGAGTTTACACTCCTCCTTCACCGACTTCAACTACGAAACAAAGCTTTTCTCCTCCTACAGAACCTATGAGATCTCCTCCTGCTAGTCCATCCTTGGAAAAACCTTCCGTTAGGTTTGATGGCCGTGATCGTGATCGTGGGGATCGTAATCATGGATACAATGACAGGCCGGCGCAGAAAGTTCACCGCACATACTCGACCCTAGAATTGTCTACAATTGATCATAAATGGGGACGGTTGTTTGATAATGATTCTCGCCCTACGGAAAGGCTGGGTCAATTCTTGAGAGGTCTTGCAAATCACATTGTTAGTCTTCCGATATTGGGATGATGCATTTCTGTCGGACAAGGCTTTCACAGAAATACTTTATCTTCAACCAAAGTCTAAGGTTGTGTTTAAAACCCCTACTGATGCTAGTTACATACAGGTCGATGATTTTGCGCCCAAGAAAAGCATTGTGATCACACCTGCAAAAATGGCAGCATATTATAACGCATATCCTATCGACAATAAAGAGATTCATCCATATGCTTGTAAGGTTTTCTGATCTCTATCCTTAGCTCTATCCATGCTCACAATCCATATTTAGCCATTTTCAAAACTCTCTCTAACACCCAAATCTCGAAGCTATACCAGGATCTTGGATGTCAACATCATCTAGTCCAAGAGGATTCTCATTCTAGCCCTACAATACCGGCCTTGACTCCACTTGGATTTGCACACTGGATGACGATTCAAATCTCTGCTTACCCCAGCGAAGAATCAGAGAGACTGGGAAAAGTAGTCCTGGCTTTACCGATTAATGCTGATGGGCAAATGGTAGATGGAAAACCGGAACGATTACCAAAACAAATCTCACGGCATTTATTACCTGACCTTGGGGACCGTGACTCGGAAAAACTGATGAGGACTGCGATGACTCACTTCTCCGATGATCTTGGTATTCCTCACAGCAGCAGAAGCAAACCAGCAGCCTCTAGCCCACCGCTTCGTCAAACATCACCCACCGATCGATCGCAATCCCGCCCTGATGATATACCTCAGCCCAGAGCCTCATATTCAGGACCGACTAGCAAGCCTATTGAACGAGAACGCATGCCTTATGCTGGCGCCCCGTCGGTCACATCTGAGTCATCGAGCGTTGACGAGGGAACAGGGGTACAAATCGAACGTGAAAGGAAGCCATATGCCGCTCAGCCTGGTAGTGGCAAAATGCACACCGAAGCCTTCAATATCAATCTTCCGAACAGGCCTGGTCGGGCAGACTCCACTGCTCGCGCAAAAGAACCTGAACGTGAGCGTAGTCGGTCAAGGCATAATCGCACGCAAAGCACTGCTAGCCAGGATAGTTACAAGCCACCGCCACTATCATCTGCTAAGCGCAATCGCAGTCCTCAATTTAAGAGCTACAGTCATTCTACGCCTACCAATATTGATAATGGATCAAGTACTTATGCGCCATCATCTGCGAGTTTCCCACCTAATTTTACTCCCTCATCATATGGAACCAACCATACCTTCCCTCCGCCCCCATCCGCTTCAGATATCCGCGATTCGAGAGATAGGAGACGAGATGAACGGCCTCACCGCAGAGGTATGGAAGACGATCGTTTCTCCAATGCCACATATGCAAATGATTTCTCAAGTCCGAGAGATGCAGAGAAATGGGATAGGTTGCACGAGGGACTAGACTCGAGAAGCAGCGATTATGATCGCGATCGTCCGACCCAATCGACGGGCTCGGGATATAGCGATCGTCCGACTCAATCAACGAGCTCGGGATATAGCGATCACACAACTAGGAGCGCGTATATAGAACCACAAGTCGGCGCTGATTATGAAGATTGGTATCGAGGGAATGGGATGGATAAAAGTGTGAGGAATAGTACGTATTACTGATATGATACCTGCAGGGTTTCGAGCAGGGGGTTGGAAATTACATGAACGAATGAATGGTCTTTGATTGACGATATGATATGATGGGATGAGAGATGAGGTTTATGGATTCACGTTGATGTTTATGTCTGTCTATGTTTTGGATACGGTCGTTTTTCTGGAAAAATCTTTCTTCTTCATGTTGGTTAGGCAAGTCAAGTTATATGGATTTGGGTAGGGAAAGGAAAGGAAAGGAAAGCGTTTTGGCGATATGGATATGGATGTCGATGCATGTGTTTTTTAGCGTTGAGATTCTGGGTTATGCAAACAAGCAAGCAAGCAAGCAAGTACGTACGATACCACTATCAGAAAATTTTATTCGATTTATATTTTGTGGATTGGTTTTGGTTTGGTTTGGTTTGGTTTTGTGATTTGGTTTTGTGATTTTGTGATTTAAACTTTGGTCTATTGTGATAAGTTATGAGATGAGATGGTGTTTGAGACTCGGATGGTGTTTATGACTTGTAATGAAAATGAGAATGAGATAGATGCAACGCAGTAGCGAGGAAAAGAGAAAAGAGGAGAGAGAAAAGGAGAAAAGGGGGAGGAAGAGGTGGGGGGAAAGGAAAGGAAAGGAGCTAGCTAATCTAGGTCTAAGTTAGTCTGAGAACTTAAATATTCAATGTTTGTCTGTTTTGTCTAGGTTTATGTTTAAAGAGAGAAGAGAGGAGAAGAGAAGATAGTTTATAAATAGATAGTATAAATAGTATAGTATAAATAGATAGTATAGATAGATAAGTGTATATCTAATCTTTTATATTATAAAAAACACTGTTAAAACGCGGATGGTCAATGGACCATTATCTAATAGTGCTCAAATACTCGAGGACTCGAGTAGTTATTTACTGTATCATGTTTCATTTCATTTCATTTAATCTCATACTATCTTGTCTCGTCTCATCTCGTCTCATCTCATCTCATCTCATCTTCCATGTCCTTTAGTTCATAATGCGTACGTAACAAGTAACAAGTAACAATTAATGAAGCCAGGCTCGCCCTCGCGCCCGCCCCCGCATCCCGCCTTTCAATATTCCCGCCCAAGTTCAAGGTTTGGATATGGATGACACAGTGTTGTGTGTGCATATCCAAATATATAAAGAAGTCTCCTTCCTACTTCTTCTTCTCCCTCACACCCGATCTACCCCCGACATCTAACCCCCGATATCTAGCGCCGCCGCCAGTTTTCACAAGCGGATTCTACTACACCAAGTTCTTTCTCACTCTAAATCTCACCCCCTTCCCCCATAAAAACCCCTTCCATGCCACTTCCCCCTCTCCCCTCATTAACCATACTTTCCGCATCGCCCACCTGTTTCCGCTCGGAAACCTCTCTCATTCCCATTCCCGCTTTTCCTTTGCCTAATTTTAGATGCATCTGTTTATGTGATAGACCCAGCGTCAATCCTCGGGATATGCCGTCTCCCCTTCTCGTCCCGCTGCCAATATCGGAAGTGGACTGCGATTTCCAGGTATCCCTCATGACTACTGATTGTTATTGGAGAGGCTCCGAACTTGAGGAAAGCCGGTTTAGATGGAGGTACACGTCTGTTCCGTATCTATTGTTTGGGGAGGCCGTTAGTTGATTACAAATTTGGGTGCGGGGCTAGGATAGGAGCTTGTGAAACATACCCCTCCATACTAATCAACTTCAAATCTCCTCCAAAATATCTAGCATATAATCTTGAGATCGGGAGACCATAACCAAATCCTGCCATCGGTGCTTTGAAATCACTCTTGTCGAAATCCGGATCTAGACTAGGCGTACTGTCCACGGTGGTGTACATATAAGTCCAGACCAGAGGTATAGCACTTCTAGGTATTCCGCCACCTTCATCCGAGATTTTGATAGTAATGTCCTCTTTCCCTTCTGCAACGACAACCTTTGTCACAGGAAAATCTGATTTATCCTGTCCATGTGTTTCGACGACAGCGCGAAGGGAGTTCTTGAGGGTTTCGAATAGCATGTGTGAAAGATGGCCGGGTACATACATAAAATTGAGGTTTGGGGGGCACACGAGCTGGATTTTTGGCGCATCGAAAAGCCCGTAGTGATCTTCGCAAACAAATCTTGCATTTTCGATTGCCTCTTCTGCAAGGTCTCGGACATTGGTTTTCGTGCATATAATACCTACATAGTTCGGATCTTTGTCGTGACTTTGATCTGTGAGTGCTATGTGTTGTCCAATAAGCATTCTTATGCCAATACGGGACATGTAGAAACGGTCAAGAAAGGATTGGATGTTGTTATCGATTTGCATGCGTTGTCGTTTCCGCTTGTACTCGAGAATTCCTTGCGCAACGGTTGTGACAACTCCGTCGTGCCGCCTTTTTATATGGTTGAGGGTTTGTGCGAATCTTTGATTATAGTCGTGAAGCTCCGGAGGCCAATCTGTACTATCCTCTACTGTAGCAAAGTATCTCCTTGTTGCTGCCGACTTCGTTTCTTTTCCATTCCCGTTCGAACTATATTGCCCCCTCATTATGCTCGGATTTTGCGTAGCTTCTGCGAGGATCTTGGATGGCTTCCCATTTATCTTCGCAGGCTTCATAAGTTTTTCTTTGACATCGGTTGATAATTGTGGTCGAGGCAGCGTGGTGATTTCCTTTCACATGTCAATATATGGAGACTTTTCCGTGTATACAAGTGAAGAGTCATACCTCGAATGACTGTGCATACCAGTCCTTAACTCTCTTGATCGAGGGCATCTCATTAAGTCCATCTGGTAAGTCTGATAGCTCTTGTACTCGATGCGCAAGTCGTATGGGAAGTTCTTCGGAAAGGAATTGTGAGGCCCGAAAAAGTGTACCTGTTTTTTGAGGAGTGGCTGATCAGTATTGGAATAATGGCAGAACCTCTGAGACCCGCTGAGTATATTCTCAAACCTACCTGTAGATGGCCTCTCTCCGAATTGTACCATCTGTCTCAAACTCACTCCAGTGGCAGGGAAATGTGAGTAATGCTTGATGGTATCCATCAACATCTCAGTTGTCTTCCACGACATCTTGTTTGATTCCTTTGGCCCTAGGGCCCCTAAAATATAATCGTAGCGCCCTTCAATTATCAATTAATCCAGTCCAACATTAGCTATCTCGTTGGCGGTACAGCAATCTTTGAACGTTTGTTGAGTTTTCTCTCCCCGCGTTCGTGATATCCTGTGAGTATGTAAGTGAGTACCTGTACGCAAAATGACGCAGAGCTAACCAATTGCTACCGAGGTAAAGCGAAGAAGTTGATTGGTGAATTGACAATCGAATAAAGAATTGTTATTTAATGACTGTCTGCAAACAAGAAAATGTTGAAGACGACAATGCAAAGTGTGAGAGTCCTTTATTCAGAAATTGATCGTGTGCACATTCAAATCAGACCAGAATCAGATTACTACCGGTACTGAACTGTAGTCCTATCTTCATCAAATAGTATGCAACATATACCGAAAGCTCCCCCTTGTTCCGAACGACCGAGATAAACCTTAACCGACCCATCTTTCCCCGCCTTTGCTGACTTTCATATATATATATTAGCTGAGAATGTACAAGATGATAGGAATTGGTAAACTTGCAGAGCAACAACAATCTTCTATGCTCGTGATTAGAAGCATCTTATTATTGTCTTACTACTGCTCGAGTATATGGTCTTGGTACTGTACCACTGTACCATTGACATGACAGCTGAGAGTCAACTCGATTGTTTTGGGCCGAAAACATTCATCTTCCTTTCACAGCATGAGTCTTGCCCTTTTTCACACACATAGCAAAGCATCGAAAGTTACCTCGGATGTTACCCTATGGACAAATCCGGAAATCTCATGCTTGCGGATACTTGCAATTGGCGGAGAAATGGAGAGGAAGACATTGGCAAGAAAAGAGCTCGCATGTAAACTTGCGTTTCCTGAGCGAGCTGAGTTTTAGAAATGTGATCTCTTTCTATCTTTTCCGACGGCTTTTCCGAGCTCCTCTTGTAATATTGGGATGGGTCAATACTCGAGTAAATGGAGGATGTGCGAAATGGTATTAGATTTAGAACTGCCTCAAGAATTGAGTCACCGTAGCTTTGATATTTTCAGCTCAAGTGTGCTTTGCAAGATTGACCTCTGTTGCCGGAATCAGAATCAGCAAATGAAGCATAAAGATCGAAGAGACTTATTTATATATCCGAATCAAAAATCCAAAGTGTTGGCTGCTTCCATTACAAGAGTATGAAACTTGTCGACTTTTCGTGTGACATGAAAACAACAGATGGGGAAAGAACAGACTAATAAGTCAATCAAGGAAGATGCAACTACCCGTGAGGTGACATGCCTTCTTCAACCTCGAAATTTCTCTTTTTCTCGAAATAAAACGAATAGTACTGATCAGCGACATCGTTTCGGTGACATCGCAGTCAAACACAGCTTGAGATATCTTCCATTAAGTAAAAACACAATGCTATCTTCCAGCAACTACCGTCTCGGAGGCATTTGTCTACTCGTATTTATCTTCATTTATGCAGTCTGGTCTCCCTTCAAGGGATTTGTATCTAACAATATTGTGGTTTCGTCAATACCGAAGGTGAACGAGCCTGGAGAAAGGTATAATCCATAACTAGTCCTTGGTATATCTACACTAACCACGAAAAGTGCCATCAAACATTATCTGGGAAGCAAAGACTGTGGAATCGTACAATCAGATATATATCATGTACCATACCCTACCAAACAGAACGTCTCGCCCTTCTGCGGAAACAGGGCCACACTCTTAGAAGCTTTGAGTGGCGGAGGCAGACATGGATTTGATGAACCATTTGTTGGGAAGGGTGAGAATACGCCCTTACCCCTGATTGGAAATGGCACTCATCCATATAGATTGTACATATCGATGGTTCTCGACCTCCGAGATATGTATGATCCTCGAACGATTCAGCGCCATCGTATTCCTCGGTGACGAAACGGCTCAGACTATTTATGCCGCCCTCAATGTCTTCCTACGAGAGGATATATCGCATGGCGGTCTGCAAGAATGGTTGATGACAGATGACGAGCGCATTGCGTGCAAATGCGATGCTCAATTTCTGGACAATAATTGTCTAGGATATTCCGTAAAGCATTTCGAGGAAGTCGTTAAAAACGAATCGAATGACCCCAAGGGAAGCCCGTATACCTGCCAGAGTAAGAGTTCTTCGACTCCTTTCCAAGACAGGACTTTAATATAGTACTTAGGAACTCCTCATGCTTACATACCATTCATGACCACACCTGCTTCATCCGCCGCCATAGCCACTTTCCAATCACTAGCATACCAAAAGCCAGATCCTTGGCGACCTACACCCGTGATCTTTTCTCTGGGTCATAGATTTTCCCACGACATGAAGTTTTCCGTCGACTCAATAAATGAATGGATCGGTATAACTAACGGCGCCGAACGCAACATTCCCATACTTCTTCTAGGCCCCACTGCCTACGGCGTCTCCAAACAATCAGGAAATGAAGGGAACATGGAGATATGGAAATACCAGGACGAGCTAAACAGAATCGCCCCCGACAAACACCTGGACATTCTTCGACTTTGGAACTTGACGATACAGGCGAGTAGTGAGGATGGAGAGAAATATGGAGAGAAGATTGCTTTGGTTGAAGCTATGATGATTATCAATTGGTTGTCGAAGCTGGAGACTTCCTAGGCACAATCTACAAAATTATTGCCCATCAGCAAATAAAGTCATTCGAATTTTTAAAGGAGGGATGAGAGGAAATAAGGATGCTTCATCTTATTGCTAGTCATTAGGGACATAGACTCTATCTCACACAATGATTACGATAATCCTACATCCAGACCTAAATTGCCGGCCTTGAGACTTTTCGTCCCATAATTTGCAAGTGAAATTGGTCACGAGTGACTGGATAATCATATTGCACGGGAACCAGAAGGTTTAATATACTGACTTTGTCAGTATCAATAACAGTATCAGTACCACTAAAAACCTTGAGAAGACCAAGGCACTCCCACCCCTTTTCTCTAGCGTGACATTACTACACATACATATATATACAAAGGATTACCGAATCGACGAATCACCTGGGATGGTTACTCGTTACTGTACACTGTATATTGATCTAGTTAGTACTAAGTTACTAATTAATTTTAGAGTTCATTCAATTGCCATGATTGGCTATCAAGTCATTCGACTTCCATTCGATTTTCCTTTAATTCAGTTCCATTTCGAATCTAGATCTAGACAGTTGTATTGAATTGAATTGAAAGCTATCTATAGTATCATTGCATTGCATCAAATAACCTTTTAAAGCCCAAAATATTTCATTCGTTATTTTATTACTTATTTGAGTACTTTATTGTATATAAGAACATGACATCATATACTGTAAATCGTAAGGGATATACAAAAAACAACATCTTAATCGATACCCATCATATCACCCTCCTCAACATTTTCCATTCCCTTGTCCCTTGCACTTGCCCTCAGAATCTCTACCGCTTTCTCCGCCGCCTTCGCCTGAATTTCCTCTTTCCTAACCCCACCTCCCACTTCCACGATTTCCTTTTCTCCCACAAATACCTTGCATAGATACTCTATACTTGCCTCTCCTGCCTCTCCTTCCACTCCCTCATTTCTATTTCGCATTACATACTTGACCTTCTCGGTCCCTGCTACTAACCCCAACTCCTCTTTCGGATGCATTATCTCGACCCCTTCTCTTATAATCCTCCTCATATATTTAAGTACCCCCATCCTCTCCACAATCGCCGTACATACCTCCATCGATCCACTATCAATCCATATTGCGCCCAGTAAACTCTCAATCATATCGGAAAAGAATTTTTTCGCATCCAATCTTAATAACAATGCCCAGGGAACTTTAGTTCCCGTATAAATGGCCGCCAAAATCTGCTCGCGAAGCTCACGGTGTCGAGACCAGGCTTGCTTTTGATATATGGAAAAATCATGGCTCGAATGGCGGAGGAAACCAGCTAGAGGGACTCGACGTCTCGTGGGGGTTTCATAGATCGTACCATCGTTTCCTTGTGTAAGATTGGTAACGTCTTGCTCAATACTCATTTCCATACAAAGAAAGGCGAGGAAATCCGCATTAACGAGAGCTGAACGCAAGAGATGCATTTGAAAATGCGAAAGCTCGGTTTCGTGGGACCACATGGATGTTACGATGACGTAGTCTAGAATAGCATCGCCGAGGAATTCGAGGCGCTCGAGGGATTGCGAGCCGATGCTGTAGGAGGGGTGAGTCATGGCTTCAATGAGGAGCGATTTTTTGGTGAAGGTATATGCTAGAATTTGTTCGACGGGTTGCAGTGTTATGGGTAGGTTGAGATTATCTGGAGCTCGTTGATGGAGCGATATTTGTCGGGTTTCGAGAGGTAGCCAGTTGAGTTCGGGGAAGAATAGTTGCAGAGATTTGAGGGCTTTGGGGATCCCGCCATCGATCATGCATACACCAATGAGTGCCTCCACTACATCGGCAAGAGTTTTGGAGGACATTTGTCTTGTTTTTGGTTCTGTTATATTTAGGTAGTTTTCGACATACAAAGGGCGCCACTTGAGACCTGTGAATGCTTTAGTGATGATATACTCATCCAGGCCAACTTCTACTGCTGCTCTTGATAATCGTGAGTTCGACACGATGCGATCCTTCATTAGGGACAAATACCCTTCATGCCAACGGGGAAATTCTGCCATCAATTGTACCGATGTACATAACTTTAGTATTGTGTCACCTAGAAATTCTAGACGTTGATAATTCAAATTTCCGTCGTAACTAGAAGTTGTGATAGCTGCTTGAATATGGCTCCGATCGTTGATCTCGAGATCCTTGAGAATGGTTCTGGATAGACGATCTACTATAAGTTGTATCTCGATATGATGTGTGATGGAAGGTATCATCATGCCGAACTGTAGTAATTGAGACGGCATTGCATCTTGCACGCATGTCGAAGCTGGAAGGACATACGAGAACTGTTTTGAAGATACCGAAGAACTTTGATTTTTTATCTGGTGTAAAAAATCTGCACGTCGACTCACTAAAGTTAAAGCTAGATGTGGGACATCTACAGGCGCATCTAGATAGCCCAAAGTGTGTTGGACTTCGTCAATTGACGGCTTACTGGGCAACCACTTTTTAAAGATATAAGGCTGGGCTGGTTCCAATGATCTCCTCACGAATCCTGTGTTCTGGAAAGGCTCATCGAGATGAATTTGTCGGTAATCTAGACTGAGTGATACTGAAGCTTGATGTACCAAAAATTGTGTAACCATTCGACGTGGCTGGATAGCGAACCTACGGCCGAAGGCACCTGACAAGAGTAAATAGGTATCGTTCAATGCCTGAGCCATCGTAGTCTCGCTGGTTCCCACTTTGGTGTTATTCGTAAAATCAACAGAGAATTCAGTGTTGGCATCCCAATAAAGCTTCAATGGAGATATTGGTGGTGGCTCGAATGGAAGACAGAGCTCCATTTTTAAACCATCTAAGCTCATGAGCGATGTACGAACAATTCCAGGATTGTGCTCTGCCTCTTTCCATTCCCTGGCAACGTCAAGCCATGGATCTAACCTCTCCCTTACCTCCAACGTAGATGCACGAGTATCCACGGGCTTCAAAGTTAACTCATCGATGACTTTGTCGTGTACCATCAGAGGCAGTAGATTGTCATTCACCAATCCTGCTTTGTGTAATGCGACATACGCCTCGAATGCTGCATCCTTTGCAGCTCCTTTCTCACTCAACCAAAGCCCGGGGCTCTTATGGACTCGCAGAGCTCCGAAAACCGACGGAGGGAGGATGACTTTCGCCTGGATATATTTAGATCCTAAATCAGAGGAGTAAACAAATTCTGGCCTCCGATCAAAGAATTCTTTTGCTGGCAAGACTGAACAGAAATGATGTAGATGTGCTACAGCATTATCAAGATCCAAGCGAGCACCAGTGCTTTCTATCCGTAGAAACCTGCCATCTTCTGACTGCTCATCAGCATTCTCAGTTTCGAAAATATGTTGTAGTTCCCGCATTTCATCTTCGTACATCTTTCGCATGTTCTTTTCAAGTTCATGCCAATCGATTATCTCATCACCTACAGCATCAAGAAGAACCAGCTTGGAATCTTGTTGTCTCGCTCGCCCTCGTCTCTGTATAAATGATTTCAGGTTTGCCGGTTTGCTACAACAACAGGGAGTCAGTGGTTGCCTACCAAAGGAAGCCTTCTGGCGGAAAATGAAGAACCAAAACTTCAGAATGAAATAAAAAGGACACAAAAGATGAAACTTTCACATAGAGTTGGATTTCAGAGAATTCGAGATGAAAGACCTAACTAATTAAGCTTACCTAAAGCATATAACTAAATTACAGGCACTGACGTCGATTCCCTCCTCCAACACGTTTGTAGCTATTAAAATATCGATCTTCCCGTGTTTAAAGCGCGATAAAGTATCTTTTTGCTGATCTAGATCGACAAGCTCTCCTACGTTTTGTGTGCGATTACTGTTTGAGGAAGTGCCAACCATGGCTCCGATATTGAAACGCTTTTTCAAAAGTGGATGGTGTGACAATAGATGGGCTAGTACATAGACTGTGGCTCTCTCTTGGACAAATATAATGGCGGAAAAAGGGGGCTCCTGCTGCACAATAATCTCTAGTAGCCTTGCAGCTTTGTTAGTAACACTGCTAGTGACGGTAAGAACTGACGGCGAAAGCTGGACTTTCTCAAGGGCCTTAGCAATGTAGAGCTTTTGACCAGCTGCTGTATCCACAACCGCGAAAAGATCCGTTGCGGTCATTGCTTTCAAGTATTTTGTCACCACTGCTGAGATATAGTAATCTGTAGCCCATGAGCCTAACTCAGGAAGAATTATCTTGTTACTAGTGTTATAGATCGACCTGAGTTGAGTTTGACTAAACGTCTTGTAGCTCTTGAGTATTCCTGCCAGCTTTCGCTGACTTGTTTCGAGATCACTGCTCTTAAGACTCAGGACGTCAGGATCCTCGAAGATATTAAGGTCTTGTATAACCTTTCCCAGACTTGCACAAGATTTTGTCATGATATGTTCTGGCTCTGGAATATAGTCGATGATGGATAAAACAGGCAATTTCACACGAAGTCGAAGGTCTGCTTGGTGTATTTTTGGGGTGCGGCAAACGGCATCCAAGATCTCCTCAATTTTGCTCAAGGATTGCGGATCAGACCTCATAACAGGGCTGGCTGAAAGGCCCAGTATGTGAGGAAGGGGGACTTTCGATTTATTTGGGTGAAAGAAAGATGTCATAATCTTAGCTCCTGGAGCTTTGTTTAGACAATTGTGTGCTATAGCTATTTAGTAGAGTTCGGAAAGACGTCCTTTTAATATAGTTATGATGTGCTTGATACTCACCTTCATCGAAAACAATCAACGAGAGACGCTCCATACAGACAAATCCATGTGTAAGGGCATCCAGGAGAATCTGATAGGGTGATACGACTACCTTAACATCCCTCAAAATCGCGTCCCACTGTCTTTGCTCTGTCCATCGATCCACACCATCAGCACCAACAAGTAATTTAATCAAAACTGAGGTGATATTGGCTTGGAAATATTCGGCGTGTTGAATACAGAGCGCAACAGTAGGTGCAAGAACCCATATCAACTATCAGAGTTAGTGACAGTAGAAGAATGCTGCAAGTTCTCTCTTACCTTGTCTGGCCCCATCCGCTCGAGTTCCGTTAGTATTCGGAGAACAGCCCTAAATGGGTCGATAGGTCAGATCAAGACCAATCCTTGAAAGAGAAATATGACGGCACATCCTATCGTAGACGCTACTTCTCATTCACACTCCATGTTCCCGGAAGAAGGGGGGATTCAGACATCTGGTCGGCAGTGCGATAGAATACACACCATAATCGAGCTCATTTCTCCAAAATGTATATGTACTAGCACAAGAGAGCAGTAGCATGAAGACAAATTCGGAAATGCATAGCTGCTGGACCCCTCATAATTCATTAGACCTGAAGGAAAAAACCTACACATGTGTTTTGCCACTCCCCGTGTCCATCTACACCTATTAGTATTAGTCCATCTCAAGAAATATCACCAATAATATACCACAAACTTACCGCAACGATGACATTTCCCTTCAAACTCTCCTCCAACATTTCCAGTTGATATGTTCTCGGAGTGACAGTCATATTCTCTCCCTTTCCCCCTTCACTGCCACCATCCTCATTTTCTCCACTCAACGGTAGTACGCTACTACATAGATCCTCTATAACCTCGTCGGGTCCTCCTCCAGTTGTCGAATTGTTTAGATTCCCCTCCATTACATTTCGGTCATTGACAAGGCTACCGGCAACATACGAATCGGCTTTAGGGTCAGACATACCGTCTATCGTTATAGAATGGCTCATAGAGAAGAAACGACCAGGCAAACTATGAAAACCGACACAAGGTAACAATCTTTGGAAGAATGACGTGGGTTTGGGGATCTCAGAGGTATGGTTGGGATAAAGTGCTCGTCTTCGCAATCGGGGTTTCCTCCCTCCGTGTGTCCGTTTTAGGAAATTTGTGGAACGCCATTTAGCATTTGGCATTTTTCCATTTGTTCGCACCAGTTCACCGTTTTCAGTAACAACAAGTACGTGTATAGGGTAAATGATGAAATGATATTAAAATACAAGAATAGAACCGAACCTTAATGTAGATCTAGAAAATATTAACTTTGAGGTAGAGAGACCCTTTGCTAATTCTTTTAGCGGCGGGTTAAGTTTACGGTACTAGGTAGTAGATACGGATACGGTACTAGTTCTGTCTTTACAGGGGTTCTTGTTCTGACCTACCTAGTTTTTTAGTTTGACGTATGAAGAGTTCTAGATATAAGATATAACTAACTACCTTGGTACCGATCCTGTATAAAAAGTCTTTATGTACCTAGTAATTGTCAAAGTTAATCCATTTATTGAGTATTGAGTATTATTGAAAGTAAACCTCCTTGATATCTCCTCTTGAGCACAGGATTGTTCTTGTAATAGAATATTCCCTCATCCATAATCCCACAATCACCACCCTTTGACTATGGCTCGAATACTCAGTATTGATTCTCTAATGCCGGTATCACATCGTATGCCTCTCAACAACCCCCACATCTCTCCCGACCCAAGAATTTCTCCGCACCCTTGATCCCCTTTGTACATTCTTCTCCTAAGTCAATGACTGCCTTGATCAAGTCATGATTAATCTTTTCGTTCACTACACTATCCTTCTTGTAATCCTCATGACCGGCAACAAAACTCCTAATCCATTTCGCTGCTGTCCACAATCTTCCGTCCGCCCTTTTTTTGATCAAATCCAAATAGGACGCCAGCTCACATCTGGTCTGGACATCAATATTGACGCTATCGAGATATGATTCTACCAACGGTATTAAGCCTGGGAAATTATTCTCCGAATCACCCTTGCTGCCGTTCATAATTTCGTCGATGGACATAAGCGCATACTCATCTTCTACAGGACCAGATGCAGATGGTGTCGGCGGCCTGGAAATACTATGCGGAGTGTTGGTACCAGATACTCTACCAGATGCTCCACCGTTAGAGGAATATGGTCGCGGCGCACGAGTTGGGAATGGATTCTTTCGGAAATAAAATCTCTGTTCCAGAACTGCATCTCGTGCATGTGCCGTTTCCATGTTTTCACTTACTTTAGTGATAGGTATGTAAAAATTGAGGTCGAAGGAGAGAATGGCTCGTGTAATGAGTACAATGAAGACTGAGAAGGCAGCATTTTCAAAATCAGTGATTTGGATCTCCATTGGTCTGAATTCTACTCTCCAGCCAATATCGTTTCCTGTTGGTGGCGGCTTGAAACGCATATGTTGCCAATTGGTAGACTGAAGGTTCTCAAAGTGATCCGTCTTCGAGAGGTCAAGTTCTTCCAAATCCTCGGCAAATATGACAATTGGATCCCGAATAAATAGATGTGCAAAGTGAGTAGCCAGCCTATCATCCATACCTCCATTCATAAGCTGTTGTTTGACATCGGGATCAGTCACAAGGTTGGGATCCAAGTACTCTTTGCGTAATCGCGGATCTTCGGAAATGTATGTAGAATTGGAGGCATAACGTGACTTGGGTATGCGCCATCGATCATGTTTCAGGGGCTGTAATAATTAGTAATGTTTATGTACGAGATATAGCTTTACTGACCGTCTCTCCTAACTCTTCTGGAGTTCGATCGTCTACCGCCCGACTGATTTGATTCCATCGTGCGTCCGTGTCGGCTAAAAATCCTTTGTAGATTGGAGTCGCTGCTGTTAAAGCGAGCAGAATCGGAGCTAGAGGACTTAATTGATCATACATTCGTCGCCCTTCCGTGATATTCTTGGCTTGAAAGGTAATTTGCAAACAACAGCTGCCCATGCCGAAGGCCATTGCGTCCATATGAATAAAGTTGTCAGGAGCAGCTCCGTTCCGAACATCATCGTCCTCTGGCCAATTGTGCAAGTCGTAATTAACAGTAGGGTCTTTCCAAGGCCAAGCGGTGTTTTCATCTCTAAAAACTGGTACATTTACCTGAACCTTCCGGCCTCTTCTTGCTCGAATGTTGGCTGCCAGGGTGGGAAATCGAATATGTGGATTGGCGATCTCATCGGGAACGAATTGTGACCGTAACTTTTCTCCACAAGGTGGAAAAAAAGGGGATGTAAATACTCCAGGTGATCCCAAGCGAGGATAAGTTGTCAAGGTGATCGGATACTCTTCGGCATTCATATGCTCTTTGGCAAGTTTCCGCCTTCACATCATCAGCTCCAGGAACTCGATTTTAAGTTTGTACAACACACCTCCACTTCATGTTCGGTTCGACATCCAATAAATCCTTGAACCCGATCCCCCAAGGTCTCCCAGGTGTAGCTTCTAGCATGAATCTTCCAAATTCGGGATGGAAAACAGGCAATGCGCTACCTCTTCACACTGTTAGCATGTCATCTTTGCTTTGTCCGATATACTCACTTGATATTGGTGACATCTTGCAATGCTGGTACACATCCTCCATTCGTACACAACTCCTCGTCTTGCGCTAACGCGGTCAAGATATCTGCCTGTCTCAAAGACAAGGTAACTTTCTCATCACCGTCCTTATAGTTCACGACCAAATATTCAACCTGAATATATCTTAGTGATAGTATCTCCCATGAATGAGTATTTCCTAACCTCGTCACCCCATAGCAGGGCATCTCGTTCTTTTCCTTTCGCCCGATTCCATATCGCTAGTAGTTGCTATATCAGATACTATTAGCAACAGTCTCCCACCACATCTTCAGCGCCGAGCCGTACATGTATGCCCCATTCTCTAACTATTTGTGCATTCTTTTTGGCTTCCGGCCACTCCAGTGGTGTTCCTAATGCACTTACAACCAGATTAGCATTGGCCAGATGCTAAACCTATGTTGTGAACACTTACAGAAGACCCATATCTTAGGATTCGAAGTACACACACAGGGGGTTTTGTCAGAACGGCGGAAGGTTCGCAATTGAGTGCCAAAGGGTTTTGATATTTCTTATGTCCAGGACTCGATGCCCCACTTTGCACGACGTTATCACAGCTTCATGATCCCTTCAATCCTTATCGGTTGCGTTGCACAGTTGTCGGACTCGGATGGCTGCCTTGGGGAAAGATATCCAGCAGCTTCTTTCTCTTCATCGATGCTTCCGCAGACGTTCTTAAGAAAAAACTCGACTGCCCCCCCAGCAAGACCAATTTAGCGTACGATGCATTTGTAAGGCTGTTTACTAATTGTGAAGGTACAGTGGGGTTGCTGACCCTCCACCAACTTCTGGGCATTGTTTATTATTACTCTGTACGGAAGCTGCATTTTGGGCTCTTGTGGCTGGTGTGCGAGCTGTGTGGCTGATGCGACTTATTTCAAGCTCTCAAATGGTATTAAAATTGATTGTCGTTGCAACTCACAAGACATCATTCACGACAAAGTTATTGCTACAGTAAGCCGAGGTTTCTCTGTCTAGTATTATTATCATGTTGACGCTCGTCTCTCCGCTCAATAGATAGGTAGTAAAGTTGCTGGCAAAATGCACAATTGACCCTCAACTACCATCTCTAGCAATTGGATATCTCCAGCAGATATGGTAGCGGAGGGATGACTTCAGAGACTCAAAGTACGGGCTCTCCAAGTGGCCCATCTCGTTTTTAATTCTCCGGGCCCTTTGTTGAGATACAGATTGCCAGCAACAACTCGGCTATGTTCCCTTTTAAACCCCAAGTTATGCTAACATATATCTATCGGGGCGAAAATGTTGAATAATGGCAATCGCACCTCAGATGAGGCTTAAACCGTGCAAGTGGGCGTGTTTGATCACATAATTTATACGTTTCAATGCGAGTGCTCGGGAATGCGCAGGATAGCTACTTTAGCAAACAAGAGTTAACCTTGGATATTCTTCATGAACTTCTCATCAGCATCAAAGACCAATCTCATGTCAAGGATGTGGATACTAAAATGGGGTGTATGGACGACATGTGAGTGAGGGAGAGAGATGCAGATTCAAGCAAGGCAAAGCAAAGAAAATCACAAGGCAAACTGTGATGGGCTTCCTTTCACTTAGATGATTCATGTTCGAGGTGAATGGCTCGATACTGACTGAACCCTGCCACAATATTGTCTCACCTCACGAATCAGCCTCCACTTTAACATTTAGTTTTCTTGAAGCTTGGTATAATTACTATCATTTTCATGGCTCGAGCACTCTCCAGTCAATCCATTGCCTTCGTTCAATATGCCTGCATTCGGCAGGTCGATTGCATTGTCTATATACTAGAGACTCTCAGAGCTTCAGCTAATTTGCTCATAGTTTAGATATGCACTAACCGACTTCTAATACGGCTCCTTGGTAGATATCACGGACATTGTTCGTAAACACATGAAACCTTTTTCTCATCAATTTGTGTCGAGGCAGACCGGTACTAGCTTGCACTGACATATTTCTGTAGAATTATATCCCTTAAAACCTAGCCTTAATCGATTCTCCTACTAAATTGCTGCTATCACGGTCTGTCTTTATCAAGATTGGTTTTGCTTTTGTTGGGTGGTACTGTACTGATAGTCCTCGCAGGTTTCAAGCCAAACCACGTATGCCCCATCTACAGGCATTTTATCAAACACTCTTGATGATTTCCAGCTATTGATGCAGCCGTAGTATGCACTCAGCCATATTTTCATAACTTTGAAGTTGTCCGTTCTTTGGCGTCAGTATTTGAGCTGTTTAAGCTCAGGAGAGTATCTACAGATGACTTAAACAACCACGACCTTGATGGTATCTCGCATACACGGATGCCATCAACCTGGTGGATTTTTAGTGCAGCTGACATTTCGATCATAAAATCGAACCAGACCATCGATACCTTCAAGGCCACCTATTTTCCGCTTAATGTGATTTATCGAATGGATTAGGAAGTTGTTACGCATAATTTACCTTATGATGCTCGGCTTTATTTCTTCTCGATTAAATTCATTCTTTTGAATCTCACACCTAGATTGCCTCAATGTCCTCGAGTCCTCGATGAAGCACTTGTCAGTGTAGAACCCATTCCTAGAACGTACTAAGAGGAGAAGGCATGAGCGCTTACGAAGACAGTATCAATGGCTTCAAAGAATGCTAGCGTAATCCAAGCTTACGGAGTACACCCAAGCTACGAAGGGCAATGAGGTACGCGGTGGGTATATCCATGCTTTCTCCAACAATTTAAGAGTGCTCGTATATTCCCGGCTGCTTCTGTCTCCAGAGCTGAAAAAAGACACGATCAAAATAGTCACGGTACGATGACACATTAGAATCACACTGGTTTAATAATGAGTACAACTATGATTCTGGTCCAGGTCTTAGATCTGAGACAGAGGATCTCAGACAAGAAGAGTCAAACAACTTTAGGCGAAGGAACCTTGTGAGTATCACCAGTGCTACATGTAGATCTGGTTCAATCTAGAACTAGATCTACAAAATATCGAGATGAAGGGCATTCGAGGACACAGAAGAGCGGAAGCCAACCGAACCAGCAAATCAGCTTAGAAATATGCAACCTGGCACCTATTATCAGATATTATACTAATAATGCTTGGAGCGCTCAAGTCGTACTCTGTCTGGATGCATTGTATACCATCATGAATCATGGAGTTGTCAGAGTTGAAGGTCCATGACAAAGTAGGCTTTGGTGCTCCATCGGACTGCTTTCGGACAACCATGATTCTGTTCTATTGAAGGAAATTGGAAAATAACATTCGGACCTTCCCATGCATTGGCTGCAATGTAAGTGTAGGATTTACGCACCCCGGAGTTTCCCAATTACTCAGTGCAAAGTCCGATTCCATTACATCTAGCAAAGTAGATCGCGAGCATATTCATCAATCACTCGATCTTTCCAAATCGATATCCCAACAACATACCATATCTCTGTACAACATTAGGTAACACAAACTCAGATCTCCGATCTTAAAGTCCTCCGAAGTCTCCGCAGATTCCACTGACACGTGTTCCCACCTGATGCAGATTGCCGGCTTCGCATCTAACCGTCTCGACACATACAGTAAACCTCGTGTTCATCTACACCTGCACTTAGGGGACCTACAGAATCACGTTTAATTTCCTGAGGTTACAAAGCATATGCACGAATGCAGATTGAGCACACTAGTGAGTGTCGCTGCGCTTGGCTTAGATATGCCAGCTGCTGTGCATGTTGTGTACAAACTCTTTTCGTTTAGTGTTTATCGCTATGGAATTGATGAGGGTGTGAAAGCCATTATATTACGTATTTTTATGGGTGGTCGCTCGAGTTTCCAGTGCTTGAAGAAACACTATTTGCTGTATATTCGTTTCTTAGAATCTTTCTTTATCGACTAGCTCTATTATTTTCTGGAGGCTCCAAACCAATAAATCATGAACACCAACCTCATCCCCCTTCTTTACATGACATCCCTTCGTCACAAGCCAATCCAGCCCTCCACAGCATATTTTCCATTGGAATTCACCGCACTCTTACCCCTCATCTATCTTTCCTAACCTTACTCGATCATCTCACAACATAGAAATCGCAACACATCCCTCGCACAGAATCTTCCTCTCCGATCCGATCGATCCCATTACATACATCAGAAAGACACTCCCTTCTCGCCTCTCGTTTCTGCAGCCATGATACGGAATCGCGCATATTTACCAATGAATATATCGGCGTTCTCGAAACCCAAAGTCACACACACATATGAAGATGTATGTACATCATGTACCATACCTATGTAATTATCAAGACTTACTACCGTCATAATGTAACTTCCCCCACTTTGTGCCATAAGCGTATTCACTTATACTTACAACGCCTTCTCGTCTTTAATCTAGAGATGTCACTCAAGTGGTACAGACTCATAAACCCCAGAATAAAGACGAGTCTCAGTCGTCATGTTCTACTCTTGAAAGCCCAAGCAGGTTTTGATGGTTCAAGTAGTTCTGGAAATTCAAACTAGAGATCTATATGCCTGCCCATGAATACGCATTCATCTGTACATACATAGATAGCATCTGACAATCCAGCATCTGCACCATGACGATATCCAGCATATATGCTCTCCACATCGATCTTTCCCATGATTTGTACCCACGAATCATGAAATTTCGATGGCCTACTTGCTTGCACACAAATAGCATATCCAGCCAAGCAATCGTAGCGTCTCTTACAAAGTACTTACCAAGTAAGCAAGCATCTAGGAACCACTACACTACACAGCACTCAAACTCACATCCAATTCCAAACCAATGATACCATACCATACCATACCATACATTCCAACCCTACGGTGTACAGTGACGTGAAATCCTATGTCATCTCATCTCGACTTCAACATGTACAGGACCACACCACCCTCTTCTTTTCCTCCTGAGAAAGAGAAAGAAATGCAGAAATAATACATCGTAGCGCGTACATGTACAGGTAACAACACTCCCTATACGGTACGATACCTACCACATCACTCACCCAGCATGAATTTTCTCCGTAACCGTCCCAATAAGCTCGTGCCACCACCAGCTATACCCACCACTCACAACTTACAACTCACCCCCACCCCCCCAAATCTTCGAATCCCCCGATTACCACACGTGACCTATCTTGATCCCAATTCATTCATTCATTCATCCATCCATTCCATCCCATACTTCCATTTTCCATTTTAAGAAGCAAAATTGCACACATATATATAGATTGGTCTTGCCACTCGGCCAAATTCATATAAAATCATATATATACACGCCGAGTCTGTCAAGAAACCCGGACCCACCACTGCGGTCCTGTCCTGTCCTCCGGATGTTGCTCATGTTGCTCCAAATCCTGTATTCACGATCCGCAGACCCTCCCTACGCTTCAGTAGGATCGATCTGTGGCTCTTGTCACACATATGCTGACGATCGAAGACAGCGAGTATCATCACCTCCCCCCTTCCCCCAAAATGAATTGTCATCTTACCATACCTTACCTTACCTTACCTAAGTATACACAAAAAATTCAGATCAAATGAAATAAAACAAAACTCATAACACAACACAGCACAACACAACACAGCGCACACATAGCAGCGGGAGATTTGTAGACATTATCTTGAATCCATTCGTCGCCATCTTTTTTTGTCTTGCTCGCTCCAATGCTATCTCCTGATTTGTCCCCATCTACTCCCTTGTAACCCGATTATAAATACTTGTACGCCACTAAGATCATTCACGATCCGTGGTCCATTCATATGACAGGAAAGTAAGAGCTTAGGATCAGTGTTAGATCAGATCAGATTTCAGATGCAAGATCATCCGTCCCCTTCCGTTCCCTTCTATACAGCCACTTCTACGTTGTGCCTCCGAACAACGTCCGCTGAATCCATGCCTGTTTGCCTCTTTTGTATTCTCTCCCGCTGCTGAATCTTATGATCTAAGGATCTAATCCAACCCAGCCTATACCACAATGTGTACCCTTCCGTACATTTGTATACACCTCTCTCATAAGCCAGCTCAACCCTAATGAATGTACGCAGATCTACTGTATTTGGTAGAAAAACTCCAACCCTCCGCTCACGGAAACCAAAAATTCCCTCGAATAAACCCAGTAATGAACTATGCTCGTCTTCCAGAAACCCGAGTGCCCGAAAACATATATAATATAAGAAAGATAATCAGTAGGAATAAAAAAATGATATAAAAAGTGGTATAAAAAGATATTCGGCCCAAATCCAGATCTTTGATCCGAGTTCTTGCCCATTTCGGTGCAACTCAAAACTCCATATCTGGCAAGTGGGAAATAAAAAAACGCCATCTCATGCAGATGCCAAACCAGAGTCTCAAAACTCTTTGTTTTACCCATAGCCGTAGCCATCAAACCGTAACGCCTAGAAGCGAACTTCCATGCTTCTACTGCCAAAAAAAGACAGATAAAACCCTTCCTTCATAGGCGAGTAGTACCAATGTGCCAAAATGCCCCTGTCATGCGTGACCCTCGAACAAAACCAATATGTGTTCTCAACGCCGTAAAAGACGTGTAATTATGCGACTTTTCCTATTCCCGTGATCCTCCGATCAAAAGTCTCCGTAACTCCATGATGACGATCGCGAGAGATCTCCATGCTCTGTAACACTAAATACTTTATACATTAGATATTTGTGTTTCGATAATATCCATTTCATTCAGTAGGCGCTCTGCTGGGTAGTTCATGACCGTGGTGAATGATCCTCCGAAGATTTGGGTCGAAGTGATGATCCGGCTGAGCCTTGTGACTGCTTCATCGTGTTTTTGCGGGTAAGCTTCGCATAATGTAACCCACATGCGTTGCAGAGCGTACGGGCTCCATCTGGTCCCCTTCTCCATTCGGGAGTCTCTGCCCTGTTACAGCTATGACATCTACCAGGTGGAGCAGCGCGCTGTTCAATTATTAGAAGATTCCGTGGAGCACGAACTGAGGAAATACGTACCCCTCGACGTTTTTTGTTATCCGGCCCACCAAAACTTTGATGGTGTCTATCATCGCCATACATGCTCTCATCATCGTAGTCCGGCGCTAATCTGGCACCGCGAGATTGCTCGTCTGCCGCATGTTGCTGCTGTACGGCAGTATCCAGCATTCGGTGAAGACAAGATACAACTCGGTTGCCGTGAATTAACATATCTTCAATGGCCCTACGATCAGGCGATCTTTCCGGGATGGCAATGTGAGAGCGTGGTTGTTCTTGGCTTATTGCGTTGAAGTGACGTGACCACTCCTGTATAGAAGTGGCAGAAACATTTATCTTCCAACATTTAGTTAGTGAATTAGACTAAGAGCACAAAGCAATGGGGGACTAACTTGGGCTAAATTATTATCAACGTCCCACACCTCAAGATGTCGTTTTACGCCCTGATTAAAAGGCTCGCTCTGAGTTTTGTAATTTTTATATCCAGCACCACTCAAATCTCTATCATCCCGTGGAGGATAGGGTGGCTGAGGATAACCTTGCCCATGTGGTGGGGGATGTGGAGGATGAACAGATTGGGCTGGGGTATTTCCATATGGGTGTTGATTATGCAACGGCGATGGCTGAGCATATTCATTCATCGATCTTTCGACAAACCTTTCCGTAACTCTCGGCTCCTGTTCATACCTAGGTGCCTCATATCTGGGCGCTGCGTAGGAGTTGGTTGGGGGAGTCTGTGAGATCGAAGGATGTAATATTGATTTTCTCCTTGACTCGGCGAAGCTCCTTGCATCCAAATCTGGGCGCGAGAAAGGCGGTGGTTGAATAGGCACTGGAGGAGAAGGTTGCCGTGACTGAGACAATTGAAACGCTCCGCCCTGCTCATATGTTCGTGGCGGCGGCAGTACCTGCGATTGTGTGTAGGGAAGCTGCGGATGCGACGGCGGCGCAGAGGCAGATACAGGTGAAGCATAAGGACCGGGTTTGGTGGAAGTACTGCTCAGAGCTTCCTGTATCGATGGTAGAGATTGTCGATGGGCGGTATTGGTCTGCAATGGAAGCGGGGGCGCTTTGTCGTTCGACGTCCTCCGCGACTCTGGTGGAGATATGAGGCCGGTGTGCGAGGAACCAGGCCACCCTGCGGAGTATAGGGCACCATTTAAATAGCGAGCGGACGCAGGACTGGCAGTCGTCGGTGCAGCCATTGGATTTGATTGTATATATCTTGTGTCCGTATTGATACGCTCAATATGTTCGCGATTCATGATGGAGAGGATGCCACTAATGATATATGAATGTCAGCTTGGGTAATGTTGATCCAGCATTAGCTTGTGAAGAGTACAGTCGTTTTAGTGAACCAAGGAAAACTGACCTCGACCTACTGCCACTTTCCGCGCCCTCCATTGCAAGATCTGTGATGTATTTCACACGAATCTGAACAGATTAGATGCTCGGAAACATGCGTGGAATGATATCGTGCTCTTCCGGTTCCGACGTTTGTGCTACAGTAACACCTGTTCACCTAAGCATTTGCGAATCTCCCTCAGCTCGAGTACTTTCTGTACGATTTCTTTTGGTGTTGCTTAAGCACTGACCGGAATGCAATTGATTGTGAGGATGAGGATGAGGATCTGGAGTTAGAACGGTTAATTGGTGTGCGGCTGACTGGAAGCTCTAGCTAAATAAATATTGGATTGTCGAGGATCGAATAAAGATGTTGAACTTTGTAGTATATCCAGGTTCGTGCTTATGTATTGTATGTACACTCGATCGATTGCTGTTGACTGTCCTATCAAAGGTCTCAAAGTGAGGCAATCGATGCGTTACCTAGGTGGGACTATTTGCCAACCCAGTTTCTTTTGTGTATGATATGATTATGGGCGGCGCAAATGGAGAGGATGTCCAGCAGATTCGTTTTCAAGAACTTAAATTGAGCGCGGCTATCCCGATATACTTGTTCGATCAAAATGAGGCTGGATTACACAGAGGGGAAATTGGAGGGGGAAAAGCCCAGTCTAAATCTAGTGAGACTTTTTTTGATCTGCACCAGTTTTTTCTGTAGCGTAATGTAAGGTTCAAAATCCAGATAAGAGTTCAGGGTCCGTAGATCAGAATTGAAAAGTTAATCAATTGGCTTCTTGCTTGTGGGTGAAATTGAACAATATAAGTATAAAATACGGGATATGGTATGTATATTTCGTGAGTAAAGATTAATCGATGATGTTGAAGAAGGAAAGGAAGGAAGAGAGCAGTAGCAGTAGGACGTGGTTGCTCTCTTTTCTTGCTCAATTTGGGTTTCGCTCGGTGTAAAGGTTTGTGGAAGTGTGGAAGTGTGGAAGGAGGAACGAGGTACACAACAGGGCAGGTGAGCTTCTCGAAGTTTGGTATTGCAAATGATAGGATAATGATAGGATTATAAAATAAGAAACACAAAAGAAGTAAAGTGGAAAAGCAAAGGTACAATCTTATAATAAGTTGAGCTTTGTTAAACTGCTGAACAAGAATGTTTTGTGTGAAGAGTAGTTGTGGTTGTAGTTGTAGTTGTAGTCGTGGTCATAAGTTGTAGTTGTAACTACCTAGTAGTATGCTAGCTAGTATGTGAGTAGTCGAGCGGGATGGGGTGGGACCATGGGAGAAAGTGGCATTGTGCTTGTAGTACAACTGATAACTTCACTTCATCGAGCGGGTTCGAGCCGTCACAGGTAGTCTAGCGTGTTAACCTTAGCCCCTATTGAGCTAGTTCAAGGGAAAGGGTTCTGGTTTAGTTTCCGGCACTTTTACTTGGGCATGATTTATTTTTTGGGTTCAACTGTGGGATGAGATGGTATAGAAGAATCTTGAGTTTAAAAGATAGATGCAGACTTGTAGCTAAGTAGAACCTAAACCGTCACCAAGGATCAAGGTACATGTAGTAGCGGCAAAGTAAGAAAGGACAGGGTACTTACTGATAACAGGGGAGATGAGTGGGTGGCCCCATCAATATCATGATTTGTTACAAGCAGATCTCTTGTCTAATAGTTAATAACCAGAGACTCAAAGATTGGAAATTTATGATCATCCGTATTTTCAGGGTTTAGTTTCAATATCTGTATTATACACTACTGCAAGATTGTATAGTAGGACTAATAGTCGTAGTAGGTGGGGCCGCTGTCTACTCCGTAGAATTGTATTAAGTAGCGCATGGGATCTAAAATCTGTATATCTTTTGAGATTTGCGAGTTTACGATGAGCCAACAGGGGCTATAAATATGTATAACAGACTGTATATCCTTGTCCTTGTATACGTTTACTATAGATCGGCCGATAATAATAATATTAATCGCTCGCTAATATAATAGATAGCGGAAAATATAAGTAAAAGATAGTCACTTATATATTATAAAAATAAAAAAATTTAAAAATAAAAATTTAGTCAGAAGAAAACTTAATATATTATAAAAGAATTCGAAGATATAAATATTAATAAAGATTATAATTTGAAAAGAATGTAAAATATTTAAAAAAAAATTCAAATTTAAACTTAGACTTGAAATTCTAAATCTTTTATTAAACAAGCCTGAGTATAAAAGATTAGAATCTATTTTATTTATATAGAATTGAAAAAGAGAGTTTTTAATTCTCTTCTTTATAGATATTATTAAAATTTATAGAATTATAGTATTATTGCGATAACTAATCGCTTATAATTAGAGCAACTTTGATGTATAAAGTTCAAGCATATTTACCTGACCAAGCCCAGTTGATCACTCTTGTAATATGAACTGTTGGTTACAAAGTCAAACTTTCCAAGGAACTATCTCGATATTTGTATCACATCGGCGAGATCATCACTAAGATCTGTACTCTTGAATCACATTCGAGGGGGCTGATCGCCAACCATATCATTACAAATACCTATCCAGTCCAAATTCCATTGTTCTTGCGATAATCCCGTCGCCATTTTAGAGTTTTCCAATCGTTGCCAGCCTTCAACTCATTATATTCATGGGTTCAGCAGGAAATCCCGGACTAATGCACCCTAGATCGGGACCCTGGATGATGCACCCATTTTTGATCTTAGAATTATTACCTGGCAGTCGTTCGTGGCCATCTCTCAAGGAATTACTGGCAAATGCACGAAAATTGAACAACTCATATAAGCATGATAATTACATCTTGGTGCATCGTACTATGTACAGCAAGCAGTATTCACATATCGCTGCCTATCAATGACAATGACAATGACAAACATAGGATTCCCTACATCTCCTTCTGCACCACGTGCAGTACTCCAGATACGCGGCCATATTATAGAGATCGTGTTACCTGCATTGACCTACAGTAGCTCTCCTGCTTCTACCCACTCTCATACGTATGTATCGTGTTCTGTTGAATATCCAGGATAGCTTTCATCTATTTATCCAGCAGGTAACTATAACGCTTGCACAATCCGCACCAAGTGCTGACGGACAAGTTTCCAAGCCTGTCAGTTATTGATACTCATTTTGCATGTTGTACAACTTGATCTGTCTACTATTGTGTTACCGACTTCATCTTCGTTATAGATTCGGGTAGTCGCCATATCTTGCCGTATCTTGCCGCCCTCACCAATGTGATGGAACACGAACACAGCCGGGGCTTTTGCCAATCTCGTTCAATCTTGCCCACATTACACCTGGAACATTTATGATTGAACATCTTCCTATTCACAAATGATTAAAGTCAGATTATTTGTTCTCGTATCGTCCTGACTTTGAAAGGAGATTTCTCTAGTTGAGGAGCGCATAGTGGCTCGACCTCTGTAACTTAGGATGGGCTAGCTAGTCTGTTCATTACAGAATAAGGGACAGTTTCTACAAGGCTACACGGCAGATCACTTCCCTTTAATAATATCGCTGACTTTCATTCCTGCTTTTGTAGCCACCAGCAAACTCTTATGGTACTGTAATGCCAATGGTTTCACGAAGGCGTTGCGAAATAAATGTCGGCTGATACAAAAGGGGTGAGACCATAGCCCAGAACCTTCACCAGGTCTGGAATGCGAGTGTGTTACATTCACTAATAAGTTACATGTTACGAGTATAGAATTAATGAAGTGCTTTACTTCTTATATATACTATGACTATTACTAATAGTATCTACTATTCTCCTCGAAAATAATAACGTTGACTGCTCTCAACATGAAACCTATCACGACAGTTATTCTTACTACAACATCACCATTTTGGGACTCAACACCAACAATCATTTTCCATTGTCGGCATTTAAACCCATGATGATGCAGAAATTGCATTGAAGATCTTCCTAATTCAGATATCGGCATGTTTTCACCCCTGACTTTGAGGGTTGCGGTTATCGTTGTGACGTTGTGCAACAATCTCAATTCGTCGCATCGAAGGTACTTTACCGACGGAGATACTGCAAGTTTAGTCTCATACTGGCATACTGCAAAGAATATCAGAATATCCCTTGCCAAGATGAATTAGATAGGATTCTCATTCCGCTTGTTGATCCCAAAATTCCAAATATGTATACATTGTACAGTAATTGTTCCGGAAGAAATCACAACGAACCGCCGAGGTATTGTATCCACACTTGCAAAAACGTTGGATGTCAGAATTTATTACAAGCTCGGATCTCACAAACGTTAACATTTCCCGAGGACTGTAAGATTATTATTGTCGAAGGTTTCTGTCATCTTCGGGCTTCAATGTAGAATAACTCAAGTCTGAACCTAGGATGGTTCCAGTAAATACTTTGACAGCTGCATGTCTCGGGATCCTACGCCCAAGCGATCCGCCCCCATCCATCTGTAGTCTTCTCTCCTACCCAATCATATCACAATACGGACGTCTACGCTCGCAGAAGTTGAAGCGCACGTGTGAGTGTGATAAGGCGCATCTCTGTAGGATCTATTCGTAAGCGAACCCCGGTGGCTTGAATGAAAATCATTATTTTAAGGGGAATTTTGAAATTTGTTCAATACATGATATCGATATCATCAGAGACCTGAGATCGTCCTGCATTCCTTAACATCAGACAAACCACTAGAACAAACGGATCTGAAAAAACGAATTCATATAAGGATCAGGAGCTGGCAAGATTTACAGGGTTTTGAATAGGATCTGATGAGCCTATAGCCAACCAAGAGACTGGCATGAAGGCGCCACGTGAGAGTCATGGATAAGCCTTACTAGAAACGCAACGGTTTTTAGACGACATAGTGATCTTGACTCTGAGACATTTTATATAAAAGCACGATAAGATTTGCATAATCCCCCCCTTT